ATGGAGTCTCCCCTGGCCAAATCTCATTTTTATCCATTTGGAAAGAATCCATAGCTTGCTTTTCCTGTGGAAACAAATACAAAACTTCTTCCCTAGTGTAACACATTTCCTTCCCTCCATTTTGAAATCAGGACATCCTTATTATAAACAGACTATTTAGTTCAGCAGGTTTTTCCGCCCATAAGTCAGTGTCTCTCAGCAGGTTTATTTTCATTAGCATTTAAGGTTAATAAAGCACTATGTAATCTATCTCTGGAAGAACCAATATCTTCTCTGTTCTATGATTATTTCTTTTAAAGTGTAGTTAAATCCTTTTAGAATTGTTTCACCTGTAGGACTAAGATCTATCTATAGCATGTTCTATGTTATAATGTCTAGAAAATTGTTGCATTTATTGGATACATGTGTTGGAGCATGGTCAGCTTCAGCTTTCAAGGGTGTCTCTAAGACAGCATCTCTAATAAATGTGCAATCTCAGAATCTTCCTTTTCAGAATTCAATGCAAAAGCCCATTGGAATTCTGAATATATATCAGCTGTATAATGTATCAGCATATATACATATTTTAAATTTTCAAACTCTAGAAAATGAAACACATAAGCTATTGTATGGCATTGTTGTAAGGTGGTGTCAAACAGCTTATACTCTTAACCCAGTAACACTGCATCTCTGTGGGCTGCCATTCAAATTCCTCAAGTCTTTGTAGATTTTTCTCATCTGGAACTACCTTTTTTGCTGTTGCTGTAGGTTCCAGATTGGATTCTTCTGAAGATTCTTTATTCTGGTTTAAAGAATCTACTAGTCTCTGCTCTATGGCCTGTAACCAGGCGTTCCATCTCAGTCCCCTCCTTATATGTGTTAGCTTTATTTCTGATCTTTCTTAAAGAGGATATGTAAACTTGTAATCATAACTGAACATATAATTCTATGATGACGGAACAAAACTATAGGGTCTCCAAATGTCCTCTGTCACTGTAGTCTCCATTTCTTTCTTTTCTTTCTTTCTTTTTTTTTTTTTGTTTTTTTGAGACAGGGTTTCTCTGTGTAGTCCTGGCTGTCCTGGAACTCACTCTGTAGACCAGGCTGGCCTCGAACTCAGAAATTTACCTGCCTCTGCCTCCCGTATTCTCCATTTTTTAACATAGAAAACATTTTCTTTTTAATCTCCCTCTCCTTCCTTCAGAGACTTCACTTTATCGTCAAATTATTTATTTTCTCTATGATTACTTATACCCAGTTTCTTTTCTTTCTTTAGCACCTAAGCATATTTTCAAGCATATTGTACCTATTTAGAGGTTTTTCTCAGTCTGTTCCTGGCTTCCATTACCTGCAGCCATTCTTTGCCTTGCTGGCCAAGCCTTAAAGGGCCAAGACCAACCTGACGGGAAGGGGCCATCCACCATGCTGTCAGCCATCTATCAGCTTCTTAGTGGTATCCACCAGCCACCATTGCAGTCGCTAGCCCAGGAAACTAGGGTCTCCACAAGTGCCTGGACTTCTCCAAGAGACTGCTGCACAGCTCTGGCACCCAGCTGCTGAGCCAGAGGTTCTAGAGGAGCCTTAGGCCTCTCTGTGATTTCCCACTCCCACTGGCCTAGACACTGCTCTAGGAAGTGTCTGTTCCCCACCCTTCCACCCAGGGCTTTTCCCCAGGCTCTAATCTTGGATTTTATGAACCTGAAAGGCCCCCAGGGAGGGGAGACCCCCACTCAAGCCACGAGAACTCACGACCACTCAAAAGACTCAGACACCGATCTTGATGTAACAGTAAGAGGTATATTTTAATCAGCACACTGAGGCCGAGACCTCATAACCCACACAGGGGCAGAGGAGCTCGACCCCCAGCTCCAGGGAGAGTAGGGTATTTAAAGGAAAAAAAAAAAAAACAACCCACGGGGAGTGGGGAGAGGTAACTGTGTCAGGGTTCAGGGAATAATCATGGGGAAAGTGCCAGCCCATTACTCAGCATATGACAGGGTCTGGATCTTTTTACTGTTAGTCTGCTAGAAGTGACATTTCTATTAACCCTTCATTCCCCACTTCTTTTTTTATAAAGTTCTAATCTTAGAACTAATTTTCAGTATCTTTATATTCTGGATTGTCTAGACCCTGTAAGGTATGGTATTGTTGGCATAGTATCAGAATCTGAACAGTACTTTTTTTTTAACAAAGGTGACTAGTCTATTTAAAATACACGGACCTATGGTTAGAAGTAGGAGCAAAATCAAAAGAGGTCGCATAGGGAAGATATCAGAGTAGTTATCCATGGTGACTTATTAAACCAGCTCTCAAACCATCTCTGGAGTTTCTCTGTCTCTCTGTCTCTTGTCTAGTCTCTCTCTCAATTTGTTCATGGAGTCTCTAATTATCTCTGGATGATCCACATAAAAGCAGCATTCTTTTCTGAGGGTGGTGCACAGCCCTCTGTTGTTTAAAAACAGCAAATCTAATCCCCTTCTATTTTGTAAGACTACCTCTGATGAGGACTTCAAGGACTCTTTAAGTTTGGATATGGACGTTTTCATGTCCTCAGGTCTTCATCTATAGCTGATCTCAATTGATGAGAGTGCTGAGGGGTCTGTACTAGGGCAGCAGCTCCTGTCCCCACGCCCACCGCTACCCCTAGTCTAGGATAACAGGCAAAGTCAAGGAGACAGGCTCTCTCTGAAAACGTTTCCAGCGCGTATCAAATTTATCTTCAAGGGTGTTAGCTGGGTGATAATAGACGGGGGGACCAGCTGTATAAGTACACAATAGTCTTTCGTAAGGAAACTGGAACTCATGAAATAGAAAGAAAAGCCTGGTGTCTGGAATAGTGAATAAAGACATGCTAAAGTCATCAGAGCAACCACGAGCTGATGGGGCTGGGGCTCCATGTGTAAGTCTAGCGCAGCATGCTTGAGGCTCTGGTCAGTCTGAGCATAAACAGACCAGGTGGCCATGGTACACATCTGTAATCCCAGCAAGCTGCAGAATCGGAGTCTCAGGTTACAGATACTACCTTGAGCCACATATATATTGAAATTGAAGGGATACAGAGATTTCCATGAGCTCTTAAAAAGATGGCAACTTTTTTTGTTCCTAAAGCAGGGTTTCTTATGTAACTCTTCTTGGCCTGAAACTTCATATGCAAACCAGGCTGGCCTTGAACTCACAGAGACCCACCTGCTTCTGTCCCCCAACCCCAAGTGCTACAATTAAAAGCATGCACCATTACTCCCAGAAGACACAAAAATTTTTGAAATATCAAATGATACATGTTCTCTCCCAAAGCAAGCAGATTCTAGCTGCTTGATTCTATACTTGCATGATGTGAACAGGTGGGTGTTAGAAGTGGACTGGTTAAGTGGGCATGGGAAGGGTGGGGAAGGAGGGCTGGGGGAAGGCTAACCAAAGCTAAGGAAATAGGAAAATGCCATATATAAACCTACTATTTTGGCTGGGCAGTGGTGGCACATACCTTTAATCCCAGCACTTGGGAGGCAGAGGCAGGCGGATTTCTGAGTTCGAGGCCAGCCTGGTCTACAGAGTGAGTTCCAGGACAGCCAGGTCTACACAGAGAAACCCTGTCTCGAAAAACCAAAAAGAAGAAGAAAACCTACTTTTTTGTAAGCTATTTAAAAAACACTTTTAAAGATTTATTATTTATTTAATATATGAGTACACTGTCATTGTCTTCAGGCACACCAGAAGAAAGCATCAGATCCCATTACAGATGGTTGTGAACCACTATGTGGTTGCTGGGAATTGAACTCCAGACCTCTGGAAGAGCAGTCAGTGCTCTTAAACCAATGAGCCATCTCTCCAGCCCCTTAAAAACATTTTTTAAGCCGGGCAGTGGTAGTGCACACCTTTAATCCCAGCACTTGGAAGGCAGAGGCAGGCGGATTTCTGAGTTCGAGGCCAGCCTGGTCTACAGAGTGAGTTCCAAGACAGCCAGGGATATACAGAGAAAACCCTGTCTCGAAAAACAAGAACAAATCCCAGCACCTGGGAGGCAGAGGTAGGCGGATTTCTGAGTTCAAGACCAGCCTGGTCTACAGAGTGAGTTCCAGGACAACCAGGGCTACACAGAGAAACCCTGTCTCGAAAAACCTAAGAAAAAAAAGAAAAAAACAAACACACACACACAAAGAGTATAAAAGTGTTCCCAGGAATCCCTTTGGGTGGCTCAAAATTGCCTATAATTCCAGCTCCTGAAGACTCGATGTCCTCTTCTGGCCTCCAGGGACATGCACATATCTGGAACAGACACATTAACACATACGTATAGATAAATAAACCTTTTAAAAGATTAACATATTTTTAAAAGATTTATTTATTTATATGAGTACACTGAAGCTGTCTTAGACACACCAGAAGGGGGCATCAAATCCCATTACAGATGGTTGTGAGCCACCATGTGGTTGCTGGGAATTGAACTCAGAACCTCTGGAAAAGCAGTCGGTGTTCTTAATTGCCGAGCCATCGATCCAGCTTAAATTCTTTAAAAATAGAAGGGTCAGCCAGATGGTTCAGTGAGTAAAGGTGCCTCCTGTCAAGCCTGATGACCTGAGTTCAAATCTAGAATCCATATGGTAGGTAAGAACCAGCGCTAACCTCTGGTTTCCACAGCAGCGTGTGCACAAGCATGTGCTTGCTTGTTCACATAGCAGCTTTTTAAAAATACAAAGTTCAAGATCATGTTTGAGCTACATAGTTGAGGCCAGTTTGAATTAGAGAGACCATATCTGAAAAGCCAAAAAACATGAGACTCCCTAGCTAGGTCGAATACAGAAGTAGAGTAATCAGCCACTTGGGAGAGTCACTATGTAAATGGCAACTCAATGGGTCCGCAATCTAATCAATTGGGGGTATTCTCAGTACAATAAATCCTAACAAGCACACTCTGGAGGGTGCAAATACGTATTGAAATGTGTACACTCACCCTCAGCAGTGTGCTTTTACATCCATCTAAAGAGACCAAGAAAAAAAATAACAGAAGAGGCGCAAATGTGGACATGGACACTGGGTGACACTTTCTGTGTTTTGTGGGCAGGAAATCTGATCTGGGGTTCCATAGTTCAAGTCCACGCAGACCTAGAGGCTCTTAGTTGGTGACTTGGAGAGTAGAGAAAGGGTGGTCGGTATGGAGAGAGCGAAGAACCTTGTGCTCTAGGGTCCCAGCTGCAGAGACCCTCCTGCTTGCAGCCTGAGGCGCAAACCTGTGGCAAACCTCGGCCCCGTCGCCTTCCCAGGACCTCCCCACCGGCCCAGCCACCTGCCGGATCTCCTGGGCTCCTCGACAGGCCCCGCCCATCGGACCCCTGGGGAGCTCCACCAGAACAAGCCCCAGTCTAGTCCCGAAGCGCAGCGGGGCGCGGGGCAGGGCGGGGAGCGCGGAGGGGCGGAGCGGCGGGAACGCGAAGGCGGGGCGCGGACACTGATTGGCCAGCACCGCGTTCCGAGGCCGTTTATGGCGGCTGGGCCGGGCCACGGATCCAAAACAAAGGGCAGGAGGCACGCGAGGCGGCGGCAGGAGGATGCCTCTCGCGGCCGAGTAGGGCGCCGACCGAGCCGGATGGGCGCAGCGGACCCAGCCGCGGACCGCCGAGCGGCCGTGAGTACGGGCGGGCCTCAAGGGTGCTCTGCGAAGATCTGAGGAGCTGCGGCTTCCGGAGGCGGGGAAGCACCTGTTGGGAGCGGGCGGGCGGGCGGGGTAGGAGTGCGGAGCACGCATTGACTTTTTGTTCTTATTTTCCGAAGCTGGTATTTGGTTCATTGGAAGACAACGCAAAATCCCGGTCTTCCTTCTTTCTGTCTTTTTTCTTTCTTGCGTTTTCTTCCTTCCTTCCTTCCTTTCTTTCTTTCTTTCTGTTTCTTAACACCTCTTATCCTCCCTAGTTTTTTCCCTACCTTAAAAAATGGGAAAAGAAATAAATACAGAAGATGCCTCCAATAAAAGAATATTAAGGGGTGGCATTTTCAAGTTGCTTGTACAATAATAACTAAAGGGAATTGTCCTAATTGTTTACCACTTGTGGCTCTAGGCTTTATTAATGCAAATTGCTAACAGGAACAACTAAGTAAGATATTCTCTACTCAGAACCTGCACAAATGGTCATCTTCGATGTCCAAATCGTGTGCTGAGCTCCAGGTTAGAAAGCTGGCAGAATTCTGTTTTGGATAGAGATAATAGACGTTGAAAATACCATTTTTCATCCCAAGGTCTTTGTACTTCAGTTGCCTATCCAAAATGTATTCACCTTAACTAATGTGTTGGCAAAGAATTGAACATACTGCCTCCTTGCTCTGCTAAACTAAAGCTCCAAGGCCAGGCTCCCCTCCTCGGATCCTTTCCAGGCCCTTCTGAGTAAGCTACCCTCACCCATCACCCATGGCCCTTTACGTCTGTTCTGTTCTAGTAGATGTGTTAACAAATGTTTTACCTGTATGGATGTATATTCACCATGTATGTACCTGGTACCTACAGAAGCCAGAAGATGACATCAGATCCCTTAGAGCTGAAGTTATGGACGACTGTGAGCCACCATGTGGGTGCTGGGGACCCTACCATGGTCCCCTACAAGAGCAGCAAGCTCCAAAATGTCAACCCATCTCTCCAGCCATAGTTTGTGGGCTCTTAAAAAGACAGAGGTGGCATATTTGAAGATTGTTGCTACCAGGATCTCTAGGCCTTTGTGTTTGTAGCCAGGGCACGATGTGGTTAGCATGTCTTCTTAGGGATTAGAGCAAATTCTTGCCTTACCACAAATATGTAGAAGCCCAGGAGCTGGCCCATATGAAACACTAAAAATACGTACATACATACACCCCCCCACCCACCCACACACAAACATACACCACACACACACACAAACATACACCACACACACACACACAAACACACACACACACACACACACACACACAGAACCGTGTCAGTAACCATTCTGGATAGTAGTCTCCATTGTTTTAGCTCGAGGACTCATGCATTTTAGGCGAGTGGCTACCACTACCACAGCTCCAGCTTTATAAATAAACTTAATTTTAGAATAACTTTAGATTGACATAATGTTGTCGAAGAGCTGGGCGTGTGGCTAGGTGGTAGACCATGTGTTCAGCATGTGTGAGGTCCTTGGTTCCACCCCTGCTACACACAAATGAGAAGTTCCCAGCTCAGCTCTGGCAGACCCAGTTTAGCACACCCTCCATTGGTCAAACTGAGTAACTCAGAAAGACCTGTTCTTAAATCCTAGGTTGTCTTTGCATTCTAAAGAACCAAAGTTGTTACTTTGACATTCTGTGTCAGCAGCAGATGCTCTGATATCTGTCTTCAGTCCCACAAGCACCCCTGCAGAGGCAGGAATGGAGGAGGCAGGGCTGGGTAGTTTTAATGCATCTTTCTTGATGGATTCTGGGGAAGCCAGTCTGATACAGAATCGGGAATGAGATCAGTTTCGTCCCCAGGAGAGATCCTCCTCTTATAACTCAGTGCCTGAGTCCCACACACCATCAACAGGCATACATGGATGTTGGATTATAGTTACTCGGCGTGTGAGTAAATAACGTTTAGCCAGCCCAGGGATGGTACCACACACCTTTCATACCAGCACCTTTCATACTCAGGGTTGAGAGGCAAGGATCTCTGTGAGTTCTAGGCCAGCCTGGTCTATATAGTGAGCTCCTGGTCAGTCAAAGCTATATATTGGTAGTCTTAAAAACAAAACAAAATAAAAACAACATTCATTTAGCCAGGCATGGTGTCTGGAGGATAAGAATTGAAGATCATCATTGGCTGCATATGGAGTTTTAGGCCACATGAGAGACCCTGTCTAAAAGCAACAAAGCAGAGGTCTGGAGAAATGGCTTAGTGATTAAGAATACATACTGCTCTTGTAGAGGACCCAAGTTTGAGTCCTAGCACCTGCATGAGATGGCTCACAACCATGTGTTACTCCAGTTCTAGGGGATCTGACACCCCTGACTTACAACTACTGAGGTGGCTCACAACCATCTGTAACTCCAGTTCAGGGAACCTGACACCCCTGACTTACCTGAGTGTGAGCACACATACCCACATGTGTGCACAGAATTCCAAGGAAAGCTGTAAAGTTCCCAGCTGTGTTTTCTCCTCTCCAGCTGTCTTCAGAGCCAGTCAGAGAAACCAGGCAGCTTTCTGCTGGCATGAATCTCAGTGCCAAAGCCGGGCAGAACGTTGCTATTGGTGGCAGAAGCCAGAAAGAACACGCTGGAGCATCTCTGGTTGCATACACATCATCAGTAGTCTTTGTTGTGCTTGAGCATGTTAGAATGGGATGGGCGATGAGAGGTTGAGGGAAGAGGTGTCCGGAACATGGGGTGTGGCGGTACGAGACCCCTTGAGGGTCCTGAGAGAGTAGGAGGTGGGCATCCACAGCAGGCACAGGGCACTTTGTCTTGAGGCCACTGGCCAGGTTACTGTACCTGAAGTACGGGAGAAAGCCTCCATCCTATGATTCAAGTAGGAAATAATAGATTCAAGGAAAGAAGGAAGTGTCACCAAAAGCCAGCTATAGCTACACTGTGGCTGTTTGAATCCTTCCAGATCTTTCCATGCTTGTGAGTGTAGGTACTGTGTATCTGAATAGTCAGTTTGCATGCTTGGAATCAACAGATAAAGACGCAGGGCCAGGAGGGTGACTGAGCAGTGAGAAGACTTTGGCCAACCTTAGTAAGCTGAGCTTGATCCCTGGGACCCCACCGTGGAAAGAACCAGCTTCTCTGACCACACACACACCAGTATCTTTGATATATGAGGGCATTTGTAGACTCTCAAACTTAAGGTGTTTTCTAATTTTTTTAATTTGTTTATTTTATGTGTGTGAGTGCTCTGTTTGCACCAAAACAGGGCATCAGATCCCATTACAGATGGTTGTGAGCCACCATGTGGTTGCTGGGAATTGAACTCTGGACCTCTGGAAGAGCAGTCAGTGCTCTTAACCACTGAGCCATCTCTCCAGTCCCTCTACTTTTTTGTTATTATGAGGGAATATTGTGAATGCTTTCATCCAGTTGTTTTGCAAATGTAAACTCCAATGTAGCAACATACAGCCAGGAATGTTCTAGATGAAACTTTCCTAACCTGCAAGAGGCTTCACTGTCTTACCCAGGCTTCAAATTCTTGGGTTCAGTCAGTCTTTTTCTTTTCTTTTCTTTGTTTTTTTGAGATAGGGTTTCTCTTTTCTCTGTATAGCCCTGGCTGTCCTGAAACTCACTCTGTAGACCAGGCTGGCCACGAACTCAGAAATCCACCTGCCTCTGCCTCCCAAGTGCTGGGATTAAAGGCGTGCGCCACTACCGCCCGGCTCAGTCAGTCTTTCAAGTAGCAAATAAAATTACAAAGTGGGCCAAGCTCACGTCCTTGTTAGCGGTGGTGTTAGAGCTAATTAGAACTGTGTGTGGAGAAGGTCGGTGCTGTGAAGGGCTGGGAGCAGGTATCACAGCGTTAGTCCAGCAGCTGGGAGGCAGAGCAAGCAGAGCCCTGTTCTAGGAATTTCCAGGACAGCCACAGCTCCACAGTGAACCCCTGACAGAGGAAAGGAGGTGTGTGGCTGACTAGAGGGGCCATGCTTCATCCTATCTGGCATCAAGAGCCCCTCAGCTTCATTTTGTTCCTCAGTGTCTCGTCTTCCAGTGTGATAATCGCACCATATGGACATGAGCCTGGTGTGGTCCACAGACTTAAAATAATTGTATGTGTTTATTTTAGGTGAGATACTTCTGGAACACATTATATTGGTTTGCTAAGGAGAAGGAAAAAAAAACAAACACTGGTGTCTGTCTGCTGTGGAGGTGGATACCGTCCACACTCAGGGACTCTGGTGTCCTTCCTGTAGGTGTGGTTCATCTGACTAGCTCTTGCTTCCCCGAGACTTCACAGTGGTTCCTAATTGCTTCTAAGACTTTGCAGTTGTTTTCCAATTACATGGCTTCTAGTGGAAACCCCAGGTCCGCTGACTCACAGAACACTATAAATGCCTATGGGGGTGGCTGGTGTCAGAGCTGCCACTGCTGGGCCAGAAGTGAGAGCTCTGAGGTGACCTGGAGTCTCCATGAAGCGCTGCCCAGGCAGGGTAAATGGGAGTCCAGAGAGCAGCACAGGCCCAGTAGGAGGTGCTCTGGGGACTGTGACACATAGGCAGACTATGAGGTCAGAACTGAATGGAGACAACATGATCATTAAAGAGAAGCAGACAGGCATCTCCAGAAGCAGAAGTGTTCATTTAGTCAGAAATGCTGAGGGGCTGCAGTCTCTATGCACTGTGTGACATGGGGGGTGCTTGGGGTTATAGATGAAAGGGAGCTTTGGGGATGGAAAGGTCCATCTGCAGGTGAGTCCCTTGCAGACTGGAAATGGTACACACCAGTGAGTTTGGTATTGGGGGGTCTCACAGAGACTTCCACAGATGTCATCTGTCAAATCAGCTTTCCTGTCCAGAACTTTTGGGTCATTTACCCTTCACAGCCTCTTCAGGTAAGGATGCCTTGAGAGCAGGACCACATAGCGAAGGTCTCTGTTGTAATTGGCTTTCTATTGCTGTAATAAATAAACACTATGACCAAAACCAACTCGGGGAGGAATGGGTGTATTTCTCTTACACTTCCAGGTCATGCTCCATCCTTGAGAGACGTTGAGGCACGAACCTGCAGTGGAAACTACTAATAAGGTTGCTTATGGGCTTTCTCACTCTCTGGCTTATGCTCAGCTGCCTTTTATTTATTCATGTTTTATGTGTATGGGTGTTTTGCCTGCACATGTGTGTAGTGCCTCTGGAGGCCAGAAGAGAGCGTCAGATTCCAGGAACTGAAAGTTCTGAGCTGCCATGTGGGTGCTGGAAATTGAAACCTGGTCCTCTAACAGCCAAGGGACCTTAACCAGTGAGGCATCTCTCCAGTTCTCTCTCTCTCTTTTTTTTTTTTTTTTTTTTTTGGTTTTTTGAGACAGGGTGTCTCTGTATAGCCCTGGCTGTCTTGGAACTCACTCTGTAGACCAGGCTGGCCTCAAAGTCAGAAATCGGCCTGCCTCTGCCTCCCAAGTGCTGGGATTAAAGGCGTGCGCCACCACTGCCCAGCTTTCATTCACTTTTTTAAAATGTGAGTACTTTGCATGTATATCTGCATGCCAGAAGAGAGCATTGGATTCCACTGTAGATGGTTGCTGGGATTGAATTCAGGACCTCTGGAAGAACAGTCAGCCATTAGCTGCTGAGTCATTTCTCCAGCCCTGTTTACTTTGATCTTTTAAAAAATGGATTATCTTTTTAATTGTGTGTGTGTGTGTGTGTATGCTTGTGTGTGTGTGTGTGCGTGTGTGTGTGTGTGTTAGAGTTTTACTGCTGTGAACAGACACCATGACCAAGGCAACACTTAGAACAACAACATTTCACTAGGGCCAGCTTACAGGTTCAGAGGTTTAGTCCAGTATCATCAAGGCATGACAGCATCCAGGCAGGGATGGTGCAGGTGGAGGTGAGAGTTCTACATCTTTATCTGAAGGCTGCTAGCAGAATCCTGACTTCCAGGCAGCTAGGATGAGGGCTTAAGCCCACGCCCACAGTGACACACCTCCTCCAACAGGGCCTCACCGTGGGCTGAGCACACACAAGCGTCATGATGCTAGTGTTCTTTTGATGTAAGACTTAGATCTCAGGGGAGGCTGAAGCAGGAGGAGCAGGGCCTGGGCAACGGAGGAGACCCTGTCTGAGGAAACACAGAGCCTCCGTGACCAGCTCCCGCCGCTTCATACACACCAAGCCCTGCAAAGTAAAAGGAAAGGGACTAGGTCTGTCGGGTCGTTAACTTTTAGGCCTGCTCCTTTTCAAACTGTCTGCGCCCTCGGCGGACGACCTCAGGTGCCGCTGCCACTGTGTAGAGCAGGGCCTGTCTGATTTGCTTGCAGGTTGCACTGGCTCTCCCTTGTCCCAGTGTGTGGACAGCACCACACGCCCTCCAGACCAGCAACGGCTCTTCCATGTGCTTTCCAGTGTTTTTGTCAGAGAGTCCGACAGAGCCCTAGCTCCTCCAGATCTGGCCCAGAACCGAGTGACGAGCACCCAGCAGACATGGTGAAAATGACCAAGTCCAAAACTTTCCAAGCTTATCTGCCACACTGTCACCGAACTTACAGCTGTATCCACTGCAGAGCCCATCTGGCCAATCACGATGAGCTCATCTCTAAGGCAAGTGATATGGATTCAAAACTGATAAGAAGGCAGAGGCAAGAGGATCTCTGTGAATTCTAGGCTAGCCTGAGATACATAGTGATATATACCCTGCCTCCAAGATAGATAGATAGATAGATAGATAGATAGATAGATAGATAGATAGATAGATAGATAGATAAAAATTAAAGTAAGGCAATGGCCAGCAGTACTGGTTGGGAACTACAGGGTGTTGTCAACTTAGTGACAACTGCTGTTTGCCAAGATCTGTCACCGACTGCAGCAGTCAGATTCAGGCACCGGGCATCTGTCACCGACTGCAGCAGTCAGAGTCAGGCACCGGGCATCTGTCACCGACTGCAGCAGTCATAGTCAGGTGCCGGGCAAAGCCATTTTATTTCAGAGCCAAGCACATCATGCATCATGGGTAGGGGCACACAAGAAACTTGAGAACTGCTGGGCGGTGGTGGCGCATGCCTTTAATTCCAGCACTTGGGAGGAAGAGGCAGGTGGATTTCTGAGTTCGAGACCAGCCTGGTCTACAGAGTTAAGTTCCAGGACAGCCAGGGCTACACAGAGAGACCCTGTCTCGAAAAACCAAAAGAAAGAAACTTGAATGGTTTTTATGTCAGTTCTTTTAAAAGAGCTATTTCATGAAGAATAGATGTGTGCTAGAAAATGAGTGATGTGAGACTTAGCCATGGCAAGACAGAAGATGCCACAAATCATTGTTAAAAGTACCCAGACTGCCAAGAGGTCGCAAACCCTGCTCCCGAGCTTCAGCCTTGTACTCCGATAACAAGGTACAATGAGCTCAATAAAGAAACAAATGTGTCTTATGTACGGTTTCAGAGATTTCTATGAGTGGCCAGGAAAGTGTAGCAGAGAGGAAGAGGCCGGAGTCCGAGTAGCCTGGGAGGTTTGCTTAGTGACCTAATTAACTTCCACTGGTCTCTGTCTCCTAAGGTGCCCTCAGCTCCTAGTGACGGCACTGCTGAGACCCAGCCTTCAGCATGTGGGCCTTTGGAGAACATTCTGGATCCAAACAGAGCAGGCATGGCAGCTCCCCTCTTCTTCCAGCTTAGGCCACGGGGAGACTGAGTGCACACACATCAAAAGTATATTCCAGCACATCAGAAACTAGAGCTACCTCCATGAGAGCTCACCAGTCTCTGGTCCATATTTGTCACTTAACAAGGAGTGCTCTGGTCTGAGGAAGCCGTTGGTGGCCTCGAACTCAGAGATCATCTGCCTCTGTCTCGAGAGTCCTGGGATTAAAGGTGTGCACTCAGTTTGTCTTGCTTATCTTGTTCTCTGATGCTCCCATTTCCTGTCACCTAAGATGACTCATGCTACAACAGAGTAACTAGGCCTGTTAAGTCATCTCTTCCCAGCTGCCCCTGTGGACAACTCAAGAGCTTGCAAATGTACAAGCAAAGGAAGAATTCAACACTGACAGAGTCAGCTGCACAGAGTCTAGACATGAGTGTCAGGAAAACCAAAAACTAAACATAAAGGGGCTGGAGATGGCTTAGCTGTCAGAGCACTAACTGCTCTTCCAGAGGACCTGGGTTCAATTCCCAGCATCCACGTGGCAGCTCACAGCTGTCTGTAACTGCAATTCCAGAGGATCTGACACCCACACAGAGTTATATATGGAGGCAGAACACCAATACACATTTAAGAAAAAACTGAACATAATATCCTACAAAATCACTTTAGGGGGTATTTCTTTTAAAAGTGAAACATGTTTGTTTGTTTGTTTGTTTATACATACAGGGCTTCTCTATGTAGCTCTTGTCCTGAACATTTTCTGTAGACCAGGTTGGCCTAAAATTCAAAGATCCACCTGCCTCTGCCTCTGGAATGGGGTTAAAGACATTCATTCCCAGGTGAAAATTCAACTTTAAAATGAAAACATATCTGTGCCAGAGACTTGTGTAGTGCCTGGCATCTTGAGCCATTTTCTTTTTTGAGACTAGGCCTCACTGAACCTGGGCTTCTCAGAGCCAGCTGGACTTGTTGGTCAGGAAATCCACTGTCCCCACTTCCCCAGCACTGAGGTTACAGGTGCATGCAGCCATGCTTTTACTTTAAAGGTTATGTGATGACTGTTTTGCCTGGTGCCAGGTGAGGTCAGAAAAGAGGGTTGAGTCCCTGCAAGACTGAAGTTACAGATGGTAGTGAGCCATGTGGGTGATGGAAATCAGGCTCTCTACAAAAGCAGATACTCTGAACTGCTGAGCTAACTCTCCAGCCCCCGTGCCTAGTGTTTAAATGTTTCTTTTTTAAATAGGGTCATACTTTGTAGCCCTAGATGGCCTGAAACTTACAGAGTCCACATGCCTCTGCCAACTAAGGGCTGGGATTAAAGGCATGCACCATGTCTGTCCCTTTCTAAAGTTTTAAGATTTATCTTTGCATGTTCTGTCTACATGTATGTCTGTCCATACCTGGTGTCCAGGAAGGCACAAGAGGCTGTCAGATACCACCCCCAACTAGATAGATGTGAGCCACCAAGTGGGTGCTGGGAACTGAGCACAGGTCCTCTGTAAGAGCAATAGGTGTTCATGACTGCTGAGATGTCTCTCCAGCCCCATGCCTGGCTTTTAACATCTTCCAGGATTTTAAGAATGTGGGGGGGGGGGGGGGAGTATTGTGCACCTTGGCATGGGTGCTCTCAGAGGCAGGGGTTGGCTCCCTGGAGCTAGAATACAGGCTTGTGAGCAGCCCAGAATCCTCAGGTCCTCTGTGAGAGCAGTAAGTGTTCATGACTGCTGAGTCATCTTTCCAGCCCCTCCTCCATTTGTAGAGGATTTACACTGTGCTGGACCTCAGTAGTCCCAGAGCAGCCTCCCAGGTAGCTGAGCCACCTACCAGGCCCAGGTTGAGACAGGGACTAGCTATGTAACCCTGACTTAACTGGGACTCACAATATGGACCAGGCTGACCTTGAACTTAAGGTGGCCATCCCACTGGACCTCCAAGGTCCTAGAATTATAGATGTGTATGTTCAGCTCAGGCTAGGATTTTCATTTTGTTTTAATGTTGTTTAAAAAGTGCAGAAACGCTGGGCAGTGGTGGCACATGCCTTTAATCCCAGCACTTGGGAGGCAGAGGCAGGCAGATTTCTGACTTTGAGGCCAGCCTGGTCTACAGAGTGAGTTCCAGGACAGCCAGGGCTACACAGAGAAACCCTGTCTCAAAGAAACAAACAAAAAATGCAGAAACTCGCCCTTGTCTAATACTTGAAGATAGTGAGCCATCAAAATTAGGTTAAAAGGTGTCATGAGGGGGCTAGAAATATCAGCCCGTTCCAAGTGTTCACAACTCTGCAGAGGGCCTGAATTGGGTTCCAGCATCAGCATGATAGCTCACAACTTCCTTTCCAGTCCCATGGGATCCAATACCCTCTTCTGAGAGATGAGAAAAGAGGCTGAAGAGTCATGTAAGCCTACAGAACTTACCGTTTAAAGCTTTTTCTCTTTTAGTTGTTCTCCAAGTTCAAGCACTTTCCCTACTTCAGCCTCTTTGACTACCTGGGGATGAAGGTGTGCCCTGACCAGCTCTAGTTCGCTGTGAACTCATGGTATATACAATTGCCGAATGCCAATGCTGAAGTCTAGATGAAGAATTGTCCGTGGGAATTGTGCTTTTATAACCTATCCCAGGAAGTGCACAATCCATGTGGCATCAGGAATTGCACTTCTGGGGGTGACTGGTGGCCTGGGAGAAGTGACTGCACCCACTCCTCCAACATCCCAGAAAGCCAAGTTGCCACTTGCCTTGCCTTAGCCCCTGCTAACACTTCCTCATCCCTTTCTTTGCAGTCCTTTCAGGGAAGCCAGGGGCGAGCCTACCTCTTCAACTCTGTGTGAGTACGTGCTGTCACTAGTGTGTCAGGCTCTGTCCTTCTGCTTGCTCAGTTAGTAAGGACTGAAATGTGTATCTCAGCCATACCAGTCAGCAACCATAGTGAGTGGGGAAGAATCTTCTCCTGTGTTTCTGATGCAGTTGTTGTGTCTAGGAGTTTGGCTTCCAAGCCTGACACTTTAGGATTCTCTTGGTGGATTAGCTCTGTAGTAGATTTGCTCAGCATATTGAGGCCCTGGGTTTAATCCCAAGCACCATAAAGAAAACTAATTCCTTCTTGTTAAAGTGGGGGTGGTAGAACCAAAAAGCCTGTGATGGTCTGGGCAAGTCTGTTCTGGTGTACTTAATGATGCTGTGGGGAGAGGGGGAACACTGTGCAGGGAGACCTCCAGCACAGCCACCCTGTGTCTTGACAGGGTGAATGTGGGCTGTGGCCCTGCTGAGGAGAGAGTCCTTCTAACTGGGCTGCATGCAGTGGCTGACATCTACTGTGAGAACTGCAAGACCACTCTTGGGTGGAAATACGTGAGTGCCTCGACTTGGGAGGGATGGTGTCCTTCAAACAGTGACATAGCCTCGGGGGCAGAGCTTTTCTAGTACCCATAAAGCCCTGAGTTCTGCCCCAGAACAGCAGAAAACTGGTCGTGGAGCAAGCCACACTGTTAAGTGGGTAAAAGCACCTGCCACCAAGCCTGATCTCTGGATCCACATGGTAGGAAGAGAACTAGTTTTTGGCCAGTTTTCCATTGAGAGCACCACAGAATGCAAATGTGTAAGCATACAATTAAAAAAAAAAAAAAAGTGGGGCGGGCACTCAGGAGGTGGAGGCATATGGATCAGAAGTTCCTGGGGTACAAGATCCTGTCTCAGAACAAAGACTGAAAGTTCCTGTTGTTTCCTTGGAACAGGACAGGATAGAGCACACCTCATCCACCAGTGACACTCTTCAGGCACAAGGGTCAGGACAGTTCCCAGGTTCTCCAAAGTTCTGCTCTCAGACCTTGACCTGCCTGTCTCCAGCTTCTCTCCATATGTAAATTGATTGACATCTCAAAAGTGACAAGTTTGAGCCGGGCGGTGGTGGCGCACGCCTTTAATCCCAGCACTCGGGAGGCAGAGGCAGGCGGATTTCTGAGTTCGAGGCCAGCCCGGTCTACAGAGTGAGTTCCAGGACAGCCCGGGCTATACAGAGGAACCCTGTCTCGAAAAACCAAAAAAAAAAAAAAAAAAAAAGTGACAAGTTTGCCACTCTTGGCTTTGCATTATTTCTAGTCCCGGAGTTTGAGGATCCCTCTAGTGCACACACTAGATGGTGTGCTGCCCACCTTTGTCTCCTGAGAGCCGCTCCAGCCTGCTATGGTTCTGAGGACATCTGTTTGGGGAAGCTCTTCTCTTTCTTTCTTTCTTTCTTTCTTTCTTTCTTTCTTTCTTTCTTTCTTTCTTTGTTTCTTTTTTTGGTTTTTCGAGACAGGGCTTCTCTGTGTAGCACTGGCTGTCCTAGAACTTACTCTATAGACCAGGCTGGCCTCGAACTCAGAAATCCGCCTGCCTCTGCCTCCCAAGTGCTGGGATTAAAGGCGTGCACCACCACTGCCCAGCAGCTCTTCTATTTCTATGGCTGCCTTAGCCTAGCTCTTAATAGAAGCCTCCTGGCTTCCTTGTGATAGTGCACCCTGACTGATATCCAGAAGCCTGTTTTGTGCTTTTTTTTTTTTTTTTCTTTTTGCATGTGTTTGTGATGTCGACACCTCGAAGCTGGCTGGTGTCAGGTGTTTCCTCAGTATCTGCTTAATTTGCTAAGGTAGTCTCTTCCCAAATCCAGGGCTCACTGATTCTGGTAGTTTTTAAGTTAGCCATCTTGATTCAGGGCTCTCATGCCTGCTTCCCACACTGATTCCAGGCGGCTGCAGCATCTGACCTGGTCTTACATGGGTTTTAGGAAAACAAGCTCTAGTCCCTGTGCTTGTATGGACGGGACACTACCTCCGGAACCATAGGCCCAGCCTTCTTTTGAGCTCTGGATTCTCATGGGTCAGGGTAGCCTGTTCTTCTTTCCTTGAATTTGTGACTATATGGTCTTCCAAACTCCTCATGAACTGCAAAGGACCAGACAACCTCACCAAACATTAGGCTCTGGGAGGCCCAGCCCTTTACCTGGTTGGCCCTGTTGTCCTTCTGTTCTCCCTATAGCTACTGCAGCACGCTGCTCACCACTGCTGCTCCTGCTGGGACTCACCTGTATCTAACAGCCAGGCTGCATCCCTGACAAGAGTGTCTGGATACATCTCCACAGGCTTCATGTTATAACATGCTAAGGGGCCTCCATGGTCTGCTGTGGGCTGGGAAGATGACTCAGTTGCTAAAGTGCTTGCTATGCAAGCATAGGGATGAGTCCAGACCAGTGTCACACATGTAAAGAGCAAAATGTGGCAGCATATGTTCATAATCCTAGTGGTGAGGAGGCAGAAATAGATCACTGGGTCAGAATAAGTCTAGCTGAGTCAGTAAACCCTAGGTTCAAAGAAAAATTGTGTCTCAAAATAAAGTGGAGAGGGGACTGGAGAGATGGCTCAGCAGGTAAGAATACTGACTACTCTTCTAGAGATCCCAGGTTCAATTCCCACACCCACATCAGGTAGGCAGTTCATACAGCTGCAGTGTCTTCTGCATATGCATGATGCACAGACATATGCAAGAGAGACATATGCCCATACACATAAAAATAAACTTAAAATGAAATAAACTAGCCAGCAGGATGGCTCAGCAGGTGCTGCGGTTGCGTGATGACCTGTGTCCCATCTGCAGACCCACAAAGATTCTAAACGGCCGTCCTCTGACCTCCACGTGCTCCTCCGTGATAATAATCAAACATGAAAAGTGTAGGGCTATCAGAACACCCACCTCAAACTCTGGCCTCTGAATGCAAGTACACACACACATCATTAGTGAACAGTGTTTACGGTGCTGAGGAGGGATCCCAGAGCCACAGGCACAGCAAACAGCACACACTGAGCTCCAGCCCCAGAAACAGAAGTGAGTTAACATTGTTCCCAAGTGTAATGAAGCACTCAGAACCGCCATGCAGTGCCCCGTGGATCCTCCTGGGCCAGGGCACAGCTCGGGGATAAGGAGCAGAGAAAATGCTACTGTTTACCAAGACTAGAGTAAAGAAGGAAAGTAAACATGTCCTGAAACCTTTCTACTTTTCCCCTCAAGGAACATGCCTTTGAGAGCAGTCAGAAATACAAGGAAGGAAAATTTATTATTGAACTTGCCCACATGATCAAAGACAACGGCTGGTAAACTGAAGCGGTCCACTCCTGTTTGAATACTATTTTATGAAAGCTGAGTGTAAAGAAGACCTAGCTTCTTGGTGACAATACTTCTTGAACTTAACCTCACAGGCCAGTCCAGTTTCAACACTTGAAGGTGTCTCTCTAGGCTATCCACTTGGTAAGGTGCCCCATCTGAATCCCCTTCATGTACACTGCGTTTCTGGAAGTCTGCATTCTTTTTCTAACTTCTTGAGTTCTAGAGAAAGAATTGACCAGCTGGTGACTCACCTGCCTAGTGAACACTTTCTTTTACCCTACGCCTGCAACACCGTCTGGCTGTGTTTTCATCAAACCCAAGTCCCTCAAAGCACAGAAGGAGGGACTCTCTCACAAGCAAAGGCATAGTGACCAGAAGTAGTCAGCCAATTTATATGTCTCTTCAAAAACTGAAGCGAGCCACTGGTAACATGGTAGAGAAGCTAAGCATTCAGTGTGCATCTTAAGCAAATAGGGAGGTTCCTGATGTAGAAGACAAGTGACTTTACTAGTGACTGAACACTGTCCCAGGCCTACCGAAGTCTGCCACTGAGCTGACTCCCTCTGTGCTGTGGCAGCACAGTGGCTCAGAATGTAGGGCTGGTCCCTACCACAGAGCAACAGGCTGGGCTTCACTTTTTACACTAGATGTACTTGAAATAGCTAGTTATGCATACAGAGACCAGAGCCAGCAGGAGAACTGCAAAACTTGAGAGTTTTCTTGTGATAAAGGAAGAGTTAGCTTAGTATGGGAGCTACCTTTCCTGCCTGGAATCACCTCATGACCTGACAGGGAGGGTCTGGGCCATCCCTCAAGCCCAAGCTCTCAGATTTTAAGTCACAACCCATCATCCCCCATGTATCTATAAGGAGTGGATGTGTAGAGAGGATGGAGGCCAGAGCCATTCCCAGATAAGTTTCATCATTTTGTACCCTACCCATGGCAGAAGGGCAAGAAGGTGGCCTGTGAAGGCTGCCAGCCCTTGAGCTGCAAAGGGAGCATGACAGGAGGGTGCTTAGCACCAGCTGCCCTAGAGCTGCCTGGGGTGTGGCAGTCAAAAAGCAGTTTCTAGTCCTTTGGGCTCCAGCCCCAAACCTTCTAAACCCAGATCCTCCGGCCAATACAGGCACTGGCACTGCAGTTAACTTCAAAGCCTACATTTTGGTGCTTTCTTTTTTTTTTTTTTTTTTGCCCAAGATTGTAAGCCTGGTAATATAAGAAATGCCTGGGCAATTGGATGACATGTTGGCATGGACTGTGAACTCTATGCCCAGTCCTAGCCCAAGCTGCTTTCTCCCCAACTACTTCCTGTTTCCCTCCAGACTAAGGCTGGCCCAAAGCAAAGTTACTCCACCCAGTAAGGTTAAGTGCTGAAACTCAGCACAGGCAGTGGTGTGACCCTGGTAGGGCTCAGTGCCATCCTTGCCTAGGAATGAACACTTAGTCAACAGTCAGCTCAAAGTGGACATGACAGCCTGGCTAGGTTTGAATACTTTTCAAAGTGGGAACTTGGTGGCTGAGGCATGGGTGATGATGTCACCAGTGGGAAGAAAGGCAAGGGCAACTTGAGTATGCCCCTATATGTGCTTCACTTAAGTGGAAGACTCTTCGAGAATTCTTCTGACCAGTGTTTGTATATACTAAGATTATATTCACAGACTTTATATTCTGGGCATGCTACCTGCCCTTCAACTGAGCACTTTGTATTGTCTTTTGTGAGCACCAACTGGAGCATTTTTGCTAGTATAACCTATGTGTATTGGGGAGTGATGGATATAAACAAAATGTTTATCAAGTTTTTTTGGATTTTGCGTTGGCCTTCTGTGAAATATCAACTTTTTAAACCAAAAGAACTGACCATGAGCTGGCTTCAGGGTAAGTGATGCAAGACCACAACCAGGTGTGCTGCTAACTGCCGAACGCCTCACATCCTTACACTCCTACAGTATCAGTGTCATTCTGTGACTATCTCCAGAACAGTGGGTGGTGATACCAGGCCATAAACGCCACTTTGCTTTAGAAATGTGGTTTATTTTGTTGCTGTCTTATTAGTATATAGATACTATTTTTATACCTTATTCTTGATGGCATCTGTCAGGTATTTGGAAAGATCAGAAATGATTTTTCTTTCTCAAAAAAGTCCTTTATTTTCTGATGACCTCATCAGACAGTTTTCAAAATCCAAGTGTCTTTACTGTCCAAAAAACTACCATTTAAGCTGTAGACAACCAACTCATGGAAATGCAAGCCCCGGTGGCCTGTCCTCTGTGCTGGAGGGCAAGAGAAGAGGACACAGCTGCCCATGGGACAGGTGCAGGCTGCTGAGCAAGGCTGACAGTAGAGTGATGTGGAAGCAACTGCGAGTTCACCATGAGCAGAGGAAAGCAAGCCCAAGCATACAGAGTGCCCTTGGCCTCCCTGTCTGTAGCCAAAGCTGTCAGCCCTTGGTGGCATGTCTGTGTGAGGTATAAAAATAAAGCTTCTGTTGTCAACAGCAAGGTTTCCGAAGCGGCTCGCCATCTAGGAGGCCGTGCTGTGGGAGACGAACCACACTCCTGCAGCATCCACAGCCCGTTGAGGACCCAGGGCTTCTGGGTTCCTGATGCTTCTACCACCACCTTGTAGGGAGCTTTTAAGTATGGCCTGAGAAGATTGTGAGAACACAGTTAGGCACCAGCAGCCCCTCTCCCTGCAGAGCCCCCCTGCTGGGACTCAGTCCAAGCTCTCACAATCTGCCTCTTTTGTTTCTTGTTTTTATTTTAGAGGACAGGATCTTGTGTGGCCTTGATGGTACTCCTACCTGCTGTATCTAGACCCACATTGTGACCTGTCATAACTGTGAGGTATCCGGCTATAGCCAGAGGAGTTGACAGAGGTATAGGAAGGCAGGGTGGAAGGGCAATGCAGTCTTGGATGTGGACTGACAGCCCAGGCAGGTGGCTGTCGTGTGCTGGGCTGGAGAAGTATCAAGGTGAGCAGTATCAAGGTGTATCAAGAAGTATCAAGGTGAGCAGCAGTCATGCAACAGCAACTGGAAGTGGAGAGGGGGAAGGCAGGGCAGTAAAGCAAGGCAGACTCCCAAAGACACAAAAGGTTTAACATCAGAAATGCAAACAAATACTAGCTACATCCCAGAATCAACAACTTTGGAGATTTTGTAGATTCAAGATTTGGGGTAAAAATCAAGTCTAAGTTACAATGTTATGTGGCATACTCTAAGGATGGCACTTAGTGACATAACACTGCTGTCTCCTCCAGAGGGGGAATCTGCCCACACTTACACAGCGGTGGAAAGCACTGAAAAGCAGGTGGCTGTGAGTGGTTTGGACACGTGGGCCCAATGGGTCCTTTTCACCACACACACTGAAAACTGTCCTAAAATCAAAAGTTGGTAAGCCAGGCATGGCGGCAACTGCCTTTAATCCTACTTGGGGAGGTAGTGTATCTCTGAGTTCAAGGCCAACTTAGTATTACATAGTGACTTGTAGGACAGCCAAGAGTATAAGACAGACTGTCTGAAAAACAGAAGAGTCAGAAGGAGCCACCTGTCTTCGGCTCACATAAGAGCACATGCTATGAGAGGCACCTGGACTCAACAGGTCACTCATAGTTGATGCAGAGAGGTAGGCAACTGAGTAGACAGGACAACAAACATGCCTGTCCCAAGCAAGGGGAGGACAAGCACTTTGTTGAAGTGGTATCGAGGTGAGAAAGACCATAAGGCTTTGTCACAACAGCCTGCGGGTAGAAGCTCCTGCCTCAGGATCCAGATCTCAATCTCCTTATCTACACTTCTCTTGAGACAGCCATGGTTGGCCTTGAACGCTCCACCCCTTGTGCCTTGGTATTCTGAATGCTGGGACTATAGGGGCCCCTTTAAAACCTCCATTTTTAACAGGACACACAGGTGGTAGCACTGGCCAAGGAATGTGTTGAGTGAGCACACAGCCATCCTGAGGCAGAGACCATTAGCACCAGATGAGGATGGGAAATGCCAGGAGTCCCAGGGGCCAAAACTGGACCCAGGTCGTAGGCAACAGGTTTATTGGCTCATAGCTCAAACTGATGACAAGGGCAGAAAGCTCAGGGACAGACCTGGAAGCCCACAGCCCTCCAATCCCTACCAGGATCCCTGACGCCAGCCTGCTGCTACCAGGAGCTGAAGTCCCCAAAGCCCCGACTGGGCCTTTTCTTGGCCATGGGGATGGTAGCGCTGGTGGAAGGTTCTTCCTCTGCTGCTCGTTTCCTGAGACATGAAGAAAAACACTCCAGCTGCCACAACAGAGCCAGGAGCCTGTGCTTGTGAGTCCCTTGAGAAACTCTGCACATATAGCTTTCCCTTCAGAAGCACGCTCTCCACACAGTGCTGCTCCCACACACAGCCCAGCCAGTAAAGCACCCTTGGCCTACACAAGCTTTGTCTAGCCCCTCATGAGGCAGGCCTCTTAGCCATAGTCTCCAGTCTGGCCTGTGCTGCTCTTGCCACGACTTGGTCACTATGAGGAGAGGTCTCAGCTTCTAGAGGATATGGGAGATGCCACCCATCAATCATACTCACGTGGCCGCAGGGTTAATGTACTTGCCGACCCCCTGGCGGTATGTCTGGGGGCCCTGGTTTCCAGGCTGGGGCTGATTCATCTTGACCTTGACCTTGGCCTCTGGATCCACCTGGTGCTGTGTCTTCTTCCGTTCCTGGGCAATCTGTGAGGTAGCAAAACTGTCTGATACAGAGCCTCAGAGTTGGGTCTTCTTCCCCCCAGCTAGGAAGGAGGGCAACGGCTAATCCAGAGCCTCAGGGTGTGTCGTCTTACTCCTAACCAACAAGGACATGACTACCTTGGCACTCTTCTCAGGGCCAACCTTGCTCACCTGGGCATCAGCCTCCTCATAGGGGTCCACAAACACTGTGGTTGTGCATATGCGCACTTCCTCCTGGTGGCAGAAAGGCTCTTGTGAGCAGGCAAGCAGACTTCCCCAACCAGCACCCCGTGGGCAGTGGTGCTTTATTCTCCCTGGGCACATACCTTAGGACGGTCAGTTTTGGGGTCACTCTCTACATTCTCCATAGCTGTCAGCGTGTCAAAGCCCCCAACAACCCTGCAGCAGAGGGACAGAGTTGGCTGGGTCTCTGAGTACCCTGAACAGAGTGTAGCATCATGGCAGAGTTGAGGCATACCATGAAGAGGACTGGCAGACATTGAAGAACCTCAGAGAGGTCAGACTCGTCACCAGGCAGGACAGGATGCTCCACAAGAGAAGGGAGCAGCACAGCACACCCAGCCAGATTTGGTGACTAAAGTCCTGGATGAGCCTCAGTCTGCGTTTTCATACTTCCTTCCCCCGGTTTGCTGAGGCAGGATCTTATATAAAAGCCAGGTTGGCTTTGAACTCATAACTGAAACTGGCCAAGAACTAAATAATCCTTAGGCTTACAACTCTCAAGTGCTGAGAATACCACTGTACCAAGCTCTTTCCCCCACTATAATTGAATTGTCAGCACGGAATGCAAGAATACCATCTGGGCCTTTCTGGAAAAATCTGCTGACCCTAGACTAGTGGATAAGGAGAAAGCAATGTGGCTCTCTGACTTCCAAAATGGTGCCTGAAAGCAAGTATGAGCTGGGGCTGCCTGGGGGCTCCTTTCCTTGGCCCCACAGGCAGGAGAACTAACTTTCCTCTATAGAAGTACCCACAGTCCTCAGTGGTGATCTGAGGGATAATACCCAGGTCTGAAGAAAGGCAGTGAAGGCCCACACTGCACTCCAAATATTTTATAGCATCTGTTCTTACCGTCCAAAGATGGTATGCTTCTTATCCAAGTAAGCACAGGATCGGAATGTGATGAAGCTGGGGAGAGAACGGAGGGAATCAGGAAGCAGCAGGCTGTCCCACCATGGGCTCTAGGCTAGTAATGACTGCTCCTCAAAAGAAGCCCTTTCCCAGCTTGGAGTTTCCTTGGACCTGTGTACTCCTGCCCACTGCCTGTCTCTACTAAGGCTACACAGGTAGATCCAGACCTCTGGTTCTCTGGAGAAAGCCAGAGTTTGGTTATCAACCTCCCATGGAAGGCAAGCAGGAAAGGCTTGAGCATGGTCGTGAGACTATTTGGAGGAAGGAAAGGGGTTGAGAAACCCAAGCCCATCATGAGCCCTGCCAGGGGCAGAGGACTGAGTCAGGATTCTAGGGTGAAGTACAACAGTCCAGATATGTGCTGTTTGGAAGAAGCTCTAGACTACAGACTGTAAACAGGTGACAGCAAAAGGCTGGATGACAAGGGGTCGGGGCATAGATGTTGTGGGGGGGGGGGGGGGGGGGGGGGGGAAGCAGACCTGCAATCCTAGCAGAAGGCTGAACTTGGCCCAGCCTGAGCTACAAGACCTTCTCTCTGAATAAATCAAATGGAAAGCAGAAAGTATGAGGTCCCTATCTAGAGTGGCTAGAGGACAGACAGTCCTATTGGACCAACAAGACAGCAGCCTCGCCCTGATAAGCAAGCAGCATTTCTGAGGCCACCAAGCAAGTCCCAAAGACATCAAGCCCAGACTTTGTACACTTAGTCTCACCATTCTTGTTACTTCTGTTCAAACAAGGACTCGTTGACTATGCTGGTCTTGGCCTCATTATGGAACAAGGATGGCTGAGCTGACTGACTGCCTCCACCTCACAGGTGTGTGCCACACACCCCCATTTCTGCCTTTGGTACCTACCTTTAAGTTCTACCTGAGGCTCGGAATGCTAGTCAGCTGGCTGACTTGGGCTCCTTTATTGAAGGGACCTAGACTTACTCTAAGTATGCAGTACTTTGATTGACTTTGACTTAGGCCCAGCACAATTTTAGGGAGAACTCTGTCCTTTGACTACCACCCTAAGCAGCTGAGTAAAACTAGCTGGACATGGACTCACAACTGAGACTTGTTGGTGTTGGGCCCAGAATTGGCCATGCTGAGCACCCCACGGCCTGTGTGTGAAAGGTTGGGACGGAACTCATCCTTGAAAGGCTTGCCCCAATATGACTCTCCACCTAGAACAGAGAAGAGCAGTCAGTAGTCAGCCACAGAGCCTCTCAGAGAAGCATCAGGGAGCTCTGGCCTTGAGGCAGCCTCCTTGATGACTCCAGACGCCAGTGCCTTCAATACACGCCGATATTGCTGTCTCACCTGGGCCAGAGGCTGAAGGCTTAAAGCTACAAGGCATCATTCCAAGACATGGGGCCAAGTCAGAACTCAACTCCCTACCAGGCCCCATAGAACAGCCACATTTATTATTCCAACAGAACAGGGCTGGCACCAGCACTTACCTGTACCTGTACCTGTGGGGTCACCGCCCTGGATCTGCAAAAACAAAACTCAGTGAGGTCACTGGCTCTAATGATGCCTATTATCCCACACACCCTACCTACTAATTGGACAGGTTTCCCATAGGCATGTGCTGAGGTGAAGACAGGGACCTCCTCTCTGACCCCAGGTCTTCCTGAGCGGACACTGAAGGGCCAGCTACAGGATTGCTGGCACAAGATACACCTGAAGACCCTACCCTGGCCACACATGGCCTGGGACAAGGTATCTAGAACAGGGCAGGTATGAGCCTGTTTGTCTCCTGGATGTTGCCCACGTCATCAAGCATCTGTAACCACAGCAACCCGTACCACTCACCACAAAGTTCCTGATGGACCTGTGAAAGATGGTCCCATCATAATACTGTTTCTTGCAGAGCTTGATGAAGTTTTCACAAGTTTTTGGAGTCTGCAAAATATCCCAACACCATGAGGCACGGTAGTTAATAGCAGCGTCACAAGCCATGCAGACCTTCATCATAGCAGAAGGCTGTCTGTAGGCTTTGACTCAGTCTGACCTCTAAAAGCTAGGCCAGAATCCTGCAGCCATATGACACATGGGGGAACAGAGAGAGAGTCAGGGCCCTTTCCTAGGACTTGCACATACTCTTATCAAGCAACCAAGGAGGTTATGTTGCTAAAGGGACTCCAGAGAAGGAAGCCAGGGCCCTTTTGGTTCTCAGGTGGAGTCGGGCAAGACTTCTTATAAGCAAACTAACCATAGCTCCGCATTTAAGGCAGGACGACCCAGTGGCCCAGGAATCACCTGTGAGCTGCCATCACACTCACCAGGTCACAGTGCAGCTCCAGGTTGAGGTCGCCCTTGCTGGTGTGTAGCCGCACATAGCCTTTCTTCTTCACAAACTGGTACCGCAGTACGTCCTCATCAATGACAGCTGCAAACAAGTCCTGAGCTCTGCGCCTGCCCTGCACCCGAGATACCTCCTCCACTCAGGCCCCATGGCGTGCCACACAAGATCAGCACTAAGGAGCCTCTTATCAAGGGCACCCCAGCTCTGAGAAGAATGCAGGAGCCAAAGGGGATTCGAAGGCAAGGAAGCAGGAAGCTCCACTTGCTACCAATGTGAGTTCTGTCCCAGTGAACAGGAGGTGGAGGCAGCTAGTACCTGCTTCATGCGTGGTCTCAGGAACCATGGCAGTAGAGGTGAAGGACGCACTGACCTTCCCTGTGGAGTAGTGGGCCTGCAAGAAAATCATGTGCTTACACCCTGCCATCACCTCTCCGCAAGTGCAACCTCCCTGACCACCACCCATAGGCACGAGGAGAGCCCGGTACAGACTGAGCTGGTAAAGACCAGAGGATCCGATTACTGGTACGCAAAGGAACAATCAAAGGCCTAGGTGAGGGAGTGAGGCCTACTCTATAGGTTACAACTAACACCAGCCAGTCAAGACAGGAGAACTGTCCACCACACTCTCATTGCCTCTTTCAGGATACGGCTGCGAAGGCACTTGTAAGTTTATTTCTGAAGGCTTTTTGTTTTTTGAGGTAAGAGTTTCTTTCTATGCATCCCTGGCTGTCCTAGAACTCACTCTGTAGACCAGGCTGGCTTTGAACTCAAAGATCTGCCTTCCTCTGCCTCCTCAGCACTTGGATTAAAGGTATGTGCCACCAACGCCAGGTTTCTTTAAAAAAAGAAAAAATTATTCTGTCACCAGGTAGGGTGGTTCACACCTTCCCAAGTTCCCAGCACTTGGGAGGCAGAGGCAGGTAATCTATGTGAGTTTGAGGCCAGCCTGGTCTACAGAGTGAGTTCCAGGCAGCCAGGGCTACACAGAGAAACCCTGTCTCGAAAAACAAAAACAACAACAAAAACCCCAATTATATGTATGAGTGCTCTGCTTGCACATGTATTTATGCACCACACATACATCTGGTGCTCTCAGAGATCAGAAGGAGGAGCCAGATCCCCTAGACAGTTGTGAGCTGCTATTATCAGTGTTGGGAGACAGGCCTGGGTTCTCTACAGAGTTAAGTGTTCTCAACCACTGACCCGTCTCTCTAGTCTAGATTATTTTTATATACAGCAGTACATGGAATAAATGTACTTTTTTCATCATATAGGGGAAGGAAAACCAAAGAGAACTGCTGTACAATTCAGTAATGCCCAACTCAGTAATGCCCAGAAGTGCAATGGTTGTGCTCAGATAGGGAATTATAGATGAACTTTAATTTTCCACTCCACCTCTGCCTTCCCCATGGCTCAGGCTCTCCAGACCCAGCCTAAATAGGAGAAAGACAGCACCTATTGGCTCAGTGTACTAGAGGAATTCCAGCAACACAGCTGTAGATAGGGCGTAGGGCAGACAAGCATGCTCGCCCCCCAGTTAGGCCCAGGTAAGGTCTGAGACCTTGGTAGCTATAACAACCCCAGCCCTCCTATCTCTGTCCTAAAATGTAAAAGCTGCCTTTAGAACGCCAAATACAGCAGGTAGCTTGGTCACTGAAGCCTGTGTCAGGGCCCACAGCACAAAGCAGCCCTATTTCTGCTGAGCCACTGTTGCCATGGGACCCCAGCTTGTCAACTATTCCTCCACTCCAAGAGTGTGCTATTCCCTTCTGATCAGTTTGGGGCCCAGTCACCCCAGCAGCCCTCGAGGGCCCCACAGTATTGGGAGGGTCCCAGCCACTATGCCACCAAAGGCATCCCAGCACCTTCCCCTGGGATCTTTCCACAGCTCGGAGGCAGAGCCAGAGTGCCCCACTCACGGCATTCAGTTGGTCCACCTTCTTCTTCTCAGGTGGCTTCATGGTAGCTGCCAAAATCTCATCTCCTTTGAACTCTTTGTAGAGCTCCTGCAGCGTCTCTCGCGTCTCCGCATTTGTATTTTTCAAATAGTAAGATGGATCCTGTTTGGCCTTTTCCTCATCTACAAAACAGTGTATTGGAATTGAGCAGCCAAGGCCCCAGAGAGTCTCAAGATGAACTAACAGGGATAGAGATGGAGCTGGCCACATGAGAAGAAGCCACAGGTGAGCTGATTAGGGCAGCGTTCTCCGGCCTTAGCACAGCCATAAGTTACTGCCCTTGATCGTCTGGCAGGAGCTCTAGTAGCTGCAGCAAGGGGGTGTGGGGGAGGGAGCATACAGAAGACATTGTCACAGTGCTTGGCCTCATGCCTGAAGGGATGTCACCCTGTTCTCTATACTGCAACCTTTTCACAATTATGTTTTGCTTTTCTGAATTTAAAAGTATTTATTTCGGGCTGGAGAGATGGCTCAGTGGTTAAGAGCACCGACTGTACTTCCAGAGGTCCTGAGTTCAAATCCCAGCAATCACATGGTGGCTCACAACCATCTGTAATGAGATCTGATGCCCTCTTCTGGTGTGTCTGAAGACAGCTACAGTGTATTCATATATAATAAATAAGTAAATCTTAAAAAAAAATAAAAAGTATTTATTTCAAGGAAAGGAAGGTCACATTTGCCTGCTAGGCCAGAGGCTGTAACCTACTGGGTAGTGAGCTTCCCAAGGCTTGGCCTCTAGGTCTCCTGAGCTCAGTTATCCCTGAGTTGTGTGTAGCTGACTCCTCGGTATGGAACAAGTGAGCTCAGAAACTTGAGCCACTCGATGAGTATGCTATCGCGTGCTCAATGGCATGGGCCACACAAAGGAAGCGGGAGTCCAAAGGCCCAGTCCGTGCCCTAGACAAGTCTGCCGTCACCCAGTCTCACCTAAAGCCCTCTGTCACTGTGTGCTGGAAAAAACAGTGGCCAACAGCAATCCAGAAAGCACAGTGCCACCAGAGCTAGGGAAAGGTAGGTGCCTTGGTGTTTCCAAGAGGAGTCAGCTACTTCGCTAACATCTAACGGACATGGTAGTGCATGCCTGTAATGCCAGCACGTCTACTTAGACAGCAAACGCAGGAGGGACGCTTCACATCTAAGCCTTATCTAGACAGGAAGTTTCAGATAGTCAAGGCTTCCCAAAAGCTAGTTAGTGAAAAGCCACTCTGGAACCACAGTGACTGGCCCCAGAAGGAGGGGCTTGCCCAAGAACCTGTGCTCTCCTCACAGCAACCTTTAGGTGTCCATACCTGGATCTGTTATTCTCATGTTATTCTTCACATGGAAGAAGTTGCTAACATTGAATTTGTCCAAATTGGTGGGGTCCTGTGAGAGAAGAGAACACTCAGAAGTACAACCGGACTGTGTCAAGCATCTCCAGCACCTGCACCATGTATTGAAGGCTGGACAGATACCTGCAGGAAAGAGGCCACAGCTGAGCTGTGTGAGGACTAGAGCGTGAAGCTCTGACCCGGTGACAAGCAAGGTGGTGCAAGTCCAGAGCACAGACTGCCTACTGCTCATCAAGCAGCGTGCCTTGCCTCTAGTCCACAAAAATAAGGCATGAGGCTTGCTGCCAGGAAGCACAAGACATGCACTGAGAAACCAATGGACCAAGCTTCAATCAGAAAGAAACAAGGCAGAGTAGCTTAACCCTAGCCTAGCCTACACTCCCTCTAGGCCATTCACACACTACCATGGGGACAACTGTGTAGATGCTGCTCTGGGTGCAGGGGTGGGACTTGAAAAGCAGCCTTAAGTGTCCTGGGGACCTAAGACAGTTGTGGGGCAGGTATAGCTCTCATACAAGAGACATGAGAACCAGACGCAGTTTTGGTGGTGGCTGTGGGGAAAGAGGGCGGCACTACGCAACAGTTGGGGAGCAGCAGCCAGAGATGTTATGGTTCAGAAGACCACCACACCTGGTGAAGAAAGCTGGGAGGCAGAGGGTGAAGCTGAGTCAAGGTGAGGCGCTTCCTGTGAAGCTACTTACCTGCAGGGTGATGATGTCTTGCCTGGAAAAGGGCTCATCAGTTAACAGGTCCCTCAAGTTCTTGGCCTTGATGTTGAGCTGCTCCACTGCCTACAGCAGAACAGAGAAATCACTGTTCCTTCTGGGCCCTGGCACAGACATCTGAAGTAAATGACCACACACAGCCACTCTGGGGCACAGCTTCATGCGCTCTCTCTCATCTGCCCGGCAGAGACTAGCTGAGCCAATCTGTGCTTCAGGCAAGAATTCCAACGTGGGCTCTCTTGCATCATGTCCTGTCTTCATCCTAGACTGAGCCAGGAATGGAGACAGCTCCTGTCCCTTCTGCCAACCTGGCACCTTCTCCTTCCTAAGAGCTTGGCCTCCATTTATCTCCCTTTACCCCTATGTTCCTTCCAGAGTCCGGTCCATGCTGAAGACAGGAATACTTTCTGGGATACAAGGAACCCTTGCTTAGGCAGCCCAAACTGTCTGCCTGGGTTTCAGGTCCAAAGGCCACCGGAGTCGCCTGACATTTATTTTAGAGATGATGTCTTGTGCTGGAGGCTATGAAAGCCATGACAGGCATGCTCACTGTTCCTGCTTCACCCTCAGCACTCGGCCAGGCACACGTGAGGGCCCAATATTAGATGGTCCCACTCACTGCAATGGGGGTCTACCTCATAGGTGTAGACGTTGCCAGTTGTCCTGATGGCCACAATATGGGTGTTGTCGGTGAACACGGAGTACAGCACTGGACAGTGGTACTGCCCTAGAAAGAAAGCACACACATGGCTAGTGGCCCTCGAGGGCTTTGATTAAACAATGATTAAACAACCAGGATAGCACATATTTTAACTGTAGCTACCCAGGAAACAGAACAGAGTACAAGGCCAGCTGGACAGTTTACCATGAGGTTATCTCAAAGTGAAATTAAAAAGGAGCAGCAGCAGTGCACTTGCCTAGCATGTGCTAAGTTCTACATCCAGCAAGTACCACAAAGAAAGGAGAGGGAAGAGTGGAGGCTGGAGGGAGTCAAGCAGGATGGCACAGAGGAGGAAAGAGACAGAGGAACTAGTAGTGGTCAGAAAAGGAAGCACAAGACAGCTGCCAAGACCTAGGAACCCAGGGATGGCAGCCAGTCAAGCTCCATTCCTCAGCATTAACTCAAACTCTGACTCATCTTACAAGACCAAACCCCTGCTGCTGCCTTCCTCAGAACAGTCTGGCAGCTTCCAGACTGGCTCAGGTGACCACTTCCTCCTCTTAAAGTCATACCAGACAGGATAAGGTTTATCTTTCCAGAGACCCTGTCTCCACCACTTTCCACCTCTCTTCATCTTTATCTCCTGGCCTTCCTCACCTAGCTCTCCACTCAGCTAGCCAGCCCCAATAGATGATCTCCCATCCAGCAGAGGCCTTGTCTAGTGAATCCCAATAGACAGTGGGGTGGGGGAGCAAACAGTCATGTTACTCACATGCATCTAGATAGACTTCTAAAAATCTCAGTTTAAAAAAAAAAAAATCACCCACACAAGCTCATTCATCATGTACACACACACACACACACACACACAAAGGGAATTCCTGTCCATTTATTTTTAAGTGTCATATGCTACTATTAAGATATAAGTCATTATATTTTTCTTGTTGTTTTGTTTCATAACAGGTTTTCTCTGTGTAGCTCTGGCTGTCTTGGAACTAGCTATGTAGACCAGCTGGCCTGAAAACACAGAGATCCAACTGTTTCTGCCTCCTGAGTGCCCAGCCTCTACCCAAGACCGAGATGGTTTCACAGTGTTAGACTCCTACCAAGCACGGACACATCTCTGCCTGGAATGTTCTTCCCATATCTTCATACAGCTCCCTCTTACCAAGTCTCCTCTCAGGCCTGTCTGCTGCCCTCAGTAGGTGTCTTGCTGGTGCCCTTCCTTCCTTCCTTTACTTCTGTCTAGAACAGAGAGGGCATCTGATGCACCAGTCATCTTTTGCCTAGATTCCGCCCCCCTTCTCACTCAGGGCTGCACACATGCATGGACAGCCACACACGCATGCACACGAATCTCAGCCCCACCTGTATGTCTGGAGAAAAATAGTACAGGAAGATCCATTCAATATGAGATGCATATGACCTATGAACCCAAGGTTGTTGTATATCAGACAATGAAGAAAGATGCCTTCTCCTCCCTATGCTTACAACATTTCCCTGGAAAACACCCAGTGAGCACTGACAGCAAACTCGCCCATGGCACTTGTACCAGAGTGAAAAGGAGACCTCTTAGCCAAGACCACAAAGAGTCTGCACAAGACTGATCGGACCCCAGGACGGGAGCATGGCAGCTGCAGCTGTAGCTTCATTATCTGGATAGGCAACAAGAGGCCACAAAGGGGCTCAGAGTAGGAGGTTCCAAGTAGGACAGAGGTGATGACAGTCTGTTCTTGAGTAGAAAATGCTTCCCAAACACCCACAACCGCAGTTGGGCTGGCCACCCTGGGCCTTGCTCTGAGCAACTTCCACCTACAATCACAACCAGCCCACAGCCTCAGCCAGGTATGTCTTGTGTACAGAGCCCAACTATGGTACTAGCAGCTCACAACAGCCTAATGCCTTTGTGGGATCCACCCGAACCTTTGAGGACAGCTGGAAAACCAAAAGCAAGTGTCAGAAAGGAAGGAGAGAGGCTGGAGATAAGTCTCTGAGGTAGAACACTGGGTTAGCATGTGTGTGGCCCCATGGTCAACCTCCAAAGCACAAGAGAAAAGAAAGGAATGCCTGATTATTAGATGCAAAGTCGGTGAGAGTTGGAGCTTGGAGTGGGCCTCTGTGGGCCAGTCCTGGAGCTGGGTACAAAAGGGACTCTCACCTTCACTGTTCTTTGCAAAGTTCAGCTTGATCAGGGACTTCCCATCAAGTTTCTGGAAGACATATAATTAACAATAATGAATAAGGGGTGAAGTAACACAGAGGCTACCAAGACAGGAGTAACAGGGACAGAACAGAAAGCTCTCCACACAACTGAGCGTCTGCAGCTTATACAGAAATGGAAATCTCTCTGAGAAGTCTCCAAGACACAGCCAGGACTCCTGGGACTTGTAGAATGGTTCAGTAGTTGCACTGATGTATCTGTAAACCCCAGGCTGTGAACAGATCCTCAGGTTTATAAACACACAAACACCTCCAAATGTAAGGGGTAGTCACTGGGTTGAATGAGGAGGGTGTGGAGTAAAGAAAGACTAGTGTGTATTTCTACAATGTCTGAACTTTCTTGTTGGTGCCAGCTACCAAACCCAGGGCCTTATATGTGTTAAGTGTGTGCTCGACCACTGAACTCCATATCCAGCCCTTGTCTGAATACCTGACTTCTGAAATTCAAAATTCCTATAGGGCCAATGAGATGGCCTTCGACTTCACACAAGCCTGAAGACCTGAACTCAATCCCTGGAACCCACAGTGGAGGGAGAGAACCAACTCCTGAAAGTATCCTTTGCCCACATTTGCACCATGGCATTCAAACACCGTCATCATCGTCATCGTCATAAATAAAGGTACTAAGTAAAATAAAAACAAAATGAATATGTCTTAACACTAGTAGGAAACCCAAAAACAGGCTCAGTTGGTGAAGGTGTTTATCACTGAGCCTAACCTACACAGAGGAAAGAGAGAACTCCCACAGGCTATACCTTGACACTCGTGTTGAAAGCACACACATACACACACGCACATGCACACATACACACTGAATAAATGTAACAAAGCTAGTGAGAGCACCTCTATGTACTCTGCTTATACTACAGAACAAGAATTGTTTAAAAGGAAACCAAACACTGAAAGTGGAAAAGGCTGATCCATGCTTAACATGGGTAAGGACCTAGGTACGGCAAGAAAGGAGTCAGCATGCCCACAAACGAGGAGTGCTAAGACAGAACACACCCTTATGGGGGTTCCATGAACAAAGGAAATGGCCTAGGTTCTAGCTGTGACCAAAGTAAAAGCTATATGTAGTTTGGATGTTGCAGAAAACAGCCCAAATGACAAGATTTGATATCCCTAAGAGCACCTATGATGCAAACTGTAAACCTAAGATATACCCAGGGGTAATGGGCTAACAACGTCCATCAGAAAACAGGAAGAGGTCAGAGATCATGAGGACAACTGTAGACAAGGTAGCAGAGGCAGCAGACTGCAAACAGAGGTGGCAGACAACACTAACAGACAGCAGAGGGCAGGCTACAGCAGGGAGTTCCAGGGTGACATCCCCTAGGTTGTCACAGCTGCAGAGGTCAGCAAGGCAGAGAACAACCAACTACAAGGTAAGGCAGGAACCTCATAATGAGGAAACCAGTAAATGGTGTTGTCATCCCAGCTTGGGCCCTCGGGAAAAGCTCCTGCAGCTTTGTGATCATGAGCCACACTCTCAAGTATGGAACACCAAGGAAGAAAAGCAAACTCCTTCGGGAGGTAGATAAAACACAAGCTTCTACCCCATACAGCTGAAGAGAAGCTCACAGGCATTAGAAACAGTCTAAGACCCCATGTGGAGCACAGCTCCCCTTTCCTCCAGAACAGGGAAGAGACAGGCTGGCAACATATGTATCTACACTGGAAAGTCTCTGGAACCCCAAACCAGTCCCAGATTGTCACCAGAGCCAGAAAGACTACAGCCAGCTTGCTGCCACCCAGTAGGTTAGTCTGTCTGTTTGTTTGTTTGTTTGTTTTGTTTTTCGAGACAGGGTTTCTCTGTGTAGCCCTGGCTGTCCTGGAACTCACTCTGTAGATCAGGCTGGCGTCGAACTCAGAAATCTGCCTGCCTCTGCCTCCCAAGTGCTGGGATTAAAGGTGTGTGCCACCACTGCCTGGCAGTAGGCTAGAGTCTTAAAACGCTTTTATTTTGTTTTGTTTGGAATTTTGTGTGTGTACTTTTTTTGGTTGTTGTTTCTGTTTTTTGGAGTTTTTTTGGCAGGGTGCCAGAAAATGTAAACCAAAGCCTTCTACAAGCGAGTGAGCAAGGCAAGTGCTCTACTACTGAGGGTTCTTGCCAAGAGAATGCCAATCACAGGCTGAGACGTGAAGGAGGAGTTTGATCTGCTCTACCAGGAAGGCAGGGTCACCATACTAAACATATCAAGAGCTCTCTACATCTGGGTGGAAATGTCCCTCCAAAGTTTACAACCCCCAGGAACCTGTGCACAGGACCTTACTTCAAAAGAGGCTCTTGAAAGAGGTAATCATGTTAAGATTGGTCACACTGGCACCAACAGTGCAATGGGCCTGGCCTCAGACCCTGAACCAGGTTGCACCAGCCCTTACTGCTGATCAGGGCAGTGACAACTACTCAGGAAGCTCTTGCTAAACTGTGCTAGGTGACTGCTGAGATCCCCACTGCCCTAAGGAGAGTTTGCTGGGTCAGTCTCCACTGTTCTCTCCTTTCTCTCTGCCTCTTACCAGACAATCATATGATCCATGGCTGCTCTCCCTGGGGCCACTAGGCTCCTTCCTGACAAATCCAGAGCTGTCCTCAAAGAGGTCAGGTAATGACCCTGCCTGGGCTTCCAACCTAACCAGACTAAGTCTAGGGCCATGAAGGTTCCCCAATATGGCATCTAAATGCCACCATCTCTCTTGTCCTCAGGACTAAGCATAAGAGCACCTCTGAAGAGACATCTCAGCCCATTATTTATCCCCCTCCCCTCTCCATCTCTCTGTGTCACTGCAGTGTCACACCTGACCCGCTTCCCATGTCAGACTCAACACATACCAAGTTGGCGACTTAACAGGTACAGCTGAATATATGAAGAACTAGGCCCACAGAAGGAAAGGACACAGACCTCTGAGATGCAAAGGGACCAAAGGACTAAAGGCTTAATAAAATGTGTGGAAAATGAGGCTAGAGAATGAGGTACAATCTAGAAATATTCTTCTAAGAAGCCGAAGTCCCAGTGTTGGATCTGTGTGCAGGTCACACAAGTGACTTAGCTGATGTAAATATGGCTTTCTTTCCACCCATTTAAAAAAGCAAACTGAGCCAGGAGTGCTGGCACATACCTTTAATCCCAGCACTCGGGAGGCAGAGGCAGGCGGATCTCTGAGTTCAAGGCCAGCCTGGTCTGTAAAATGAGTTCTAGGACAGCCAGGGCTACACAGAGAAAACCTGTCTCAAAAACCAAGACAAAACAAAACAAAAAAACCCAGACAATACCCAGAATTGTCAAGGTCATGAGCAAGAAGTATCTTCTTTTACAGACTGTTTTTAAGGAGTTAAAACAACTTTGAAGGGCAGCTGGCCAGTAGCTATGAAAACTGACAAAGCATCTACTTTTGACTCAGTAGAATACTCTTGTGCTCAAGAAATGTACACGCTTGTACTTCTGCTGTGGCAGGCAAATGACAGAGGTTTCACTTCAACCCAGCCACAGACAGACACTAGACCAAAGATGGCTTGGTGTGTTAAGTCACTAGCCACCAAGCCTACCAACCTGAGTTAGATCCCTAGAACCAACCCACATGGTGGGAGGATAGAACTGACTCCCACAAGTTGCCCTCTAATCCTGTGCTATGGCAAATGCACCCACACAGATGTACATACAAGCTTACACACACACACACACACAATTAAACAAATAAATGTAAAAACCATACCTTTTAACCAACAGTCTCATAGAAAAGGCTGTGCTTTCTGCACTAACACTCTTGAGACTCTCCAGCATCTTGCAGAGCACACAGAGCAAGATACCCACTACAATCCAACTCAAGAAAAAAAAATATGCAGCAAGACTGTCGTGACTGAGAAGACAGCCTGGACTGCAGAATAAGACGCTGTCTCAAGCAAACAAAGATATAAGACAATGGTATACATTCATAGGAGATTAGTACCATGACTGCTCTGGATACCAAAATCCAGAACTATCCAGTCTCATAAAATGCTGTAGCACTTGACCAGAACCTACACATATCCTGCCATCAACATTAAGCCATCTCCCAATTGCCGGCTATCTACCACAATCTAAAAGCTAAACACAATTATTCTCTGATACCGCTTAGGAAAGAATGACAAGAGGAAGCATATAGATATTCATTCACATATAACCTTTCACAAATACTTCTTTATGAGCACAGTTGACTGAATCCAAGAACATAGAATCTGCAAGTAAAGTGTGCCAAGTACATACTCACATGTGTGCACACAGAGGCAACATTTCTGGAGAGCACAAGACTGTCTTGCACACAGGTCAGCAGTTCTCTACCGCTGAGTACATGAGAACGGCACAGACAAAGCAGAGACAGGAGCAGGGGCTCTTACCGGCAGCATGGAACTCTGCATGAGCACCTACCTCTCCATTGCTGGGATTGGTCCCATACTTCTTAAGCCATGGAACAATGTTCCTGATGAGAAGAGAGAACAAAAAGTGTCACCATGGGGCTGGAGAGATGACTCAGGAGCGAAGAGCACTTGGTGTTCTTGCATAGGGCCCGAGCTCCCAAAACCCACATGACAAGTACATATAACAACCATTTGTAATTCCAGTTCCAGAGAATCATGTCCCCTCTCAGCTCCCACAGACACTGCACAAGTGCTACACAGACAGGTATTTGGTAAAACATCCACACACATAAAACTAAACCTTAAAAAAGGAAACAAGGGGCTACAGAGACAGCTCAGAGGTTAAGAGCACTGACTGCTCTTCCAGAGGTCCTGAGTTCAATTCCCAGCAAGCACATGGTGGCTCACAACCATCTGTAAAGGGATCCGATGCCCTCTTCTGGTGTGTGTCTGAGGACAGCAGAGTGTACTCATACACATAAAATAAAAATAAATCCTTTAAAAAAAAAAAGTAAGAAAACAGAAAAAAAGATCACCAGAGCACACTGCTGGCAGTGACACCACCTGAGGCCTTAGAGCTGCGCCCAGGGGAGAGTGGAGAGCAGGCACGTGCACCTCACTACAGATGGGGAGAGTACCTTAAACAAGTGATGCACTTACAGATTCATGTGTTTTCAAACATATTCAGTGACTGGAGTTTTCCGGTGCTGGGGACTGAAGGAATGGCTTGTGGACACTGAGAATGTGCCTTTCCACTGAGCTACACGTGGCATTTGTACAAGTTTTATCGAAGTTATATATAAACAAGAACTTTAACTGTAAAAAAGGCCAAACAAGCCGGGCAGTGGTGGCGCACACCTTTAATCCCAGCACTTGGGAAGCAGAGGCAGGCAGATTTCTGAGTTCAAGGCCAGCCTGGTCTACAGAGTGAGTTCCAGGACAGCCAGGACTACACAGAGAAACCCTGTCTCGAAAAAAAAAAACAAAAACAAAAAAAAGAAACAAAAACAAACAAACAAACAAAAGGGCAAACAAATGTGAATATATCTATATAACAAAATATTGAGTCAGCATCAAAAATTATACTGTGGCCACACGCAGTGGTGAGCCGAGCCACGTGCAGCGGTGAGCCACACATGGTGTAGGCCTAGCTAGTTGTGAGATTTATGAGAGTGGGAAGTCACTTGAACCAGGTATTCAACACCAGCCAGAGGGAGACACCCCCTCCCCCTGTACCCACCAAAGAAATCTGTGCACAGGGCCAAGAGGGCGCAAGCATTCACTGACAATCCTGGGTACTGAGATCACTGTGATAAATTGTCCAATTTTTTTTACTATTTTTCCTTTTTTTTTTTTTTTTTGAAAATTTTAGAAAAAAAAATAGGATCTAAAACAAGCTTAGCTGGAACATAAAACAGGGTGCAGTGCTTCAGAATATAATGCATGGAATTAAGCACTTCATTATAGCTCTGCTTTCATCAAGAGAACACACCCCTGAGGAGCTGGCCTCTAAGACATGGGGAAAAGGACTCGCCTTCATTTCAAGCTAGTGCTGCCTGCTAGAGGCCACAGAGCCATGTCCCTGAAGGCCTGGCTGTCCCTCCCAATTACCAAACAGGCTCACCCGAACGTCATGAGATTTCTAGGAACAAGATTTTAGTAACCTTGACCCTGCTTAGAGCCACAAACTGAACATTCTTTTCTCTAATTGGTATGAAAAATCCTGAAGTATTTATTAAATCAAAATTAAATATAGAGCGCTGGGGAGATAACTTAGTGGATAAAGTACTTCCTATGCAAACACAAAAGCCTGAAATTTGTATTTCAAGAACCCATGTTAAAGCCAGACACAATGGGGCTAGAGAGATGGCTCAGCAGTTAAGAGCACTGACTGCTCTTCCAGAGGCCCTGAGTTCAATTCCCAGCAACCACATGGTAGCTCTCCACCATCTGTAATGGGATCTGATGTTGAGTACAGCTACAGTGTACTCACATACATACATAAATAAATAAATCTTAAAAAAAAAAAAAAGCACCCATCTGTAATAGAAGCAGGAGCCTGCTGGTCAGCCAGTCTAGCTGACAGTGCCTTGTCACTGACAAGGTGGAGAGCAACAAAGATCGTCCCCTGAGGTCGACTTCTGGCCTCCACATATACATGACCCTGAACACAACTGCACATACACGAATACCTTCCCCCCCCCCGGGGGGTGGGGTAGTCAGACACATACACACAAATAAAAAGAGACTTAAAAATTCAAGAGGAAACTCACAGCAAGTCAAAGACGACACCTTCCGGGGTGCAGACTGGGTAGACAAAAGGCTGGAGAGAGAGACTAAAAGGAACAGAGATCCCACATCAGCTTCTAGGCACACTAAGCATGCTCTGCTTCCCACAACCTTCCCCACAGTTCCAAGTACCCTCTGCCCCTCACACTACACCACTAATGATAAGCCACTGTCCCAGGAGGTGCCTCAGTACTTGGGGCAGCAACAGCCCACTTCATGTCACGTAAGAGAGAGGTCTCTTATGGTGGCCTTGAGGAAGCAAGACTGAGATTCCCTCTCAGTCTCCTTACATAGCAGTCAGACTAAGTTTTACCCCCAGAGCCATCCTCCCCCCTTCCAAAGGAGGTTTAATGAGGCCCCTGTGGTGTACTATGCCAGTACTCCACCCTGATGCATGCTGGGAACATGACTGGGGTGGAGGTCCACGGCAGCCTCAGCTCCCACAGCAGCTCTTCACATGTATCTGCAGCTGGTCTCAAGCCCTTAATCCCAGTGCTCTGGAGGCAGGGGCAGGCCAATCTTCTTGAGTTTAATGTCAGCCTGGTCTACAGAGTGAGTTTCAAGTCAACAAGAAGCCAGAGCAGCATACAGACCCTATCTTAAAAAAAACAAAACAAGCGACGGGCGGTGGTGGCACACGCCTTCAATCCCAGCACTTGGGAGGCAGAGACAGGCGGATTTCTGAGTTCGAGGCCAGCCTGGTCTACAGAGTGAGTTCCAGGACAGCCAGGGCTACACAGAGAAACCCTGTCTCGAAAAAAACAAAAAAAACAAAAAAAATTTAAAAAAAAAAAAAAAAAACAAGGACTGGAGAGATGGCTCAGCGGTTAAAAGCACTGACTACTCTTCAGAGGTCCTGAGTTCAATTCCCAGCAACCACATGATGGCTCATAACCATCTGTAATGGAATCCAAAGCCCTCTTCTGTACTCATATTCATAAATAAATCTTTAAAAAAAAAATCTTTGGCAGAGCAGAGTGGCTTTACTCCCAGCACTCAGGAGGCAAAGACAGATAGGTCTCTGAGTTCGAGATCAGTCTGGTCTCCACTATACAGACAGTCAGGGCTACACTGTTTCGGAAAAAAACAAAAGCCAACAACAAACCCCTTTGACTGTAACTAGCCAGTAGGTGGCTGGAGCAGAAGCAGCAGTCAGTTCCACAGATTATGGTGGAGAGCTTGTTCTCAAATATCCTGAAGGGCTAAATTCTCCATTCATCATCCACAACAGATCAAAGGGGCCAGTGGGGTCAGCGGCCTCCAGAGGCACGAGAACCAAGCAGTGCTCTCTCGCTCTTTTTTTGTTTGTTTGTTTTGTTTTTTCAAGACAGGGTTTCTCTGTATAGCCCTGGCTGTCCTGTAACTCACTCTGTAGACCAGGCTGGCCTCAAACTCAGAAATCCACCTGCCTCTGGCTCCCAAGTGCTGGGATTAAAGGCATGCACCACCACTGCCAGGCAGTGCTCTCTCAAAGATCAATCGAAACCAGAAAGTACCCATTCCAACAAAGCTGATGACCAACGTGAGCAACACCTTCCATGACCACAGCACAGGGCTTCCTGGGGGTCCAGATGCATCGAGGCCCAGTTTCTGGATTAAAACAATGTCCAGGCCTTGTACTGTGGTCTGCTCCCTTTGCGTCCTGTGCTTTAGCCTTTCTCCCTTTCTTAGTGCATTGTGGCACCTGGCTGACATGCCTCAAGTGAGCCATCTGACATTCAGATTAGACCTTGGGAGGAACAGTGTATGGTGACTGCTGGGCCCAGATAAGCTTTCACAGCAGTCCCTTTGCCCCAAAGCAACATTCGATAGCTCTGCATCACAGCTACCCTGCCCTTTCCACCAACACCCGAGTCCCCAAGGAAGGAAAGAAAGGCCGACCAGAGTCCTTACTATCGCTGCCGCTGCTGCTACTTAATCTGGAACAAGAATTGAGTCTCACAGGCATCACAACTCAGCAGTGCTGCTTTCCAGGGGTGACACCAGGGTATATGCCACTCTTCTAAGCACTGGTCCTCTCAGCCACAAAATACACTTAACAAGAGGGTCTACCCAACCTTAGGAGGTATGAATGAAGCTAAAAAACAAAGCTGGTAAATACAGACACAGTAAACAGGAAGCACCCATGCCCTGTCCTCATGGCTGGGCCCACCTTCTCCCGGCTCAAGATATCTTGAGAGGCAGACAAAGCCATGCACGCGTCTCACAGGGTCAAGTTCACATGGATGGTGCATGTTGAGCATCCCTAAACTTAAAATTCAAAATGCTCCGAATTCTCACTTTATTAGCATCACATCAGGCTTCAAGGATGATCAACTGTCTGTGCAAAAGTCTATGCAAATATACTCCATATGCAAGTATGGTAGGTAGCCTGCAATCCTAATACTTAGGAGGTAGCAGCAGGAGATTCAGGAGTTCAAGGTCAGCCCAAGCTACAGTTAAAAGACTCTATCTTAAAACACACACACATACTTTGGTAGAAATGATACACAGCCAACACCAAGGGAAAGCAGAAGGGTTTAAAGCTCTCACCTGCAGTGGTCAAAAGGTAAGCGGCGAAAACTTGTCTGTGTGATATCTGTTTAAGATGAAATAAAAAACAGAAAACCTATTTGGAAAATATTTCATCTATGTATAGCTACCATTAAAACTACATTACTATGGCAGGCATGGTGACACACTCCTTAATCCTGGTACTTGAGAGGGAAGCAGAGACAGGTAGATCTCTGTGAGTTCAAGGCCAGCCTGGTCTACAAAGCAAGTTCCAGGATAGCCAGGACTGTACAACCTAGAAATCCTGTCTCAAAAAACAAGACTAACAAAAAAACTACATTACTATGAATTAAATCTTTTGTTGCTGTTGTTTCGAGAGAGGGGTGTGTGCTATGTGCTGCTGAAGACCAAACCTAGGGCCTTATATATGCTATATGCTAGGCACATCACTGAACTATATACCTCCAGGCCCCTATATTAAGAATCTTTTGGCCGGGCAGTGGTAGCGCACGTCTTTAATCCCAGCACTTAGGAGGCAGAGGCAGGTGGATTTCTGAATTCCAGGCCAGCCTGGTCTACAGACTGAGTTCCAGGCCAGCCTGGTCTACAGGCCAGGATGGTACATGTTGAGCATGCCTAAACTTAAAATTCAAAATGCTCCAGGACAGCCAGGACTACACAGAGAAACCCTGTCTGGAAAAACAAAAAATAAATTTTTTTTTTAATTTTTTTAAAAAAAGAACCTTTTGGTAGTTGCTGGGCAGTGGTGCCACACACATTTAATCCCAGCACACAGAAAGCATAGGCAGGCATATCTCTGGATTCAAGGCCAGCCTGGTACACAATGCAAGTTCTAGGACAGCCAGGACTACACAGAGAAACCCTATCTTGGAAAAAAAAATCTTCTGGTAGGGGCCTAGAAAGATGGCTGGGCAGTTAAGAACACATTCTGCTCTTATGCAAGACCTGAGTTCAGTTCCTAACATTCACATGTGATAACTTACAACTGCCTGTAACTCACCAGGGAAGCTAACACCCCTGGACTCTATGGGCAGGCATCTCTATGGGCAGGCATCTCTATGGGCAGGCATCTCTAAGAGCAGGTATCTACTCATGCAAATATGCACACACGCACACACCTAAAAATAATAGGTACTAGAGAAATGGCTCAGTGGCTCAGTGTACTTCACTGGAGGTAGAAACAGAAGGAACTTACTGACAAGCCAGTCTAGCCCATCAGTGAGCTATCGGGTTAGTGACAGACTCCGTCTCAACACAAGATGGGCTCAGCAGCAAAGCACATCTTTAATCCTAGCAGTTGGAGGCAGAGGCAGGTGGATTTCTATGAGTTCAAAGCCAGCCTGATGTACATAGTGAGTTCCAGGGCAGCCAAGGCCACATGGAGATGTTTTCTGTTTCAAAAAAAAAACAAGGGGCTGGAGAAATAGCTCAGAGGTTAAGAGCACTGGATACTATTGTAGAGGCCAGGGCTGGGTTCCCAGCACCCACTCTCCTCTGGACTCTAAGGTACCCATATGCATGTGGCATGTACTCATGTAGACAAATACACACACAGAGAGATTTTTTTTAAGATGGATTATCAATTGAAGACAACACCCAATGTGACCTCTAGCCTCCAAACACAGGCACACCCACCTGCACATGCAAACACATGCAGGGGCTTTTTGTTGTTTGCTTTTTTGAGATGGAGTTTCTCTGTATAGCTCTGGCTGTCCTGAGATGAAAAGCATGTACCACTACACCTGGATTTACACAGCCTCTTTTGATATTATCGAATCACAAATCAAGGCCAGGCATGTTAGCTCATGCCTTTAATCCCAGCACTTGGGAGGCAGAGGCAGGCGAATCTGTAAGTTTAAAACTAGCCTGGTCTACAGAGTGAATTCCACAGGAAAATCCTACCTTCAAAAAACAAAACAGAAAAACCCATATATTTATATTTATATACACACACACACACTCAGGCATATACACACATATGTATACACACTCAGAGAGAGAGACAGAGAGAGAGCACACACGGAGCACACAAGCCCATGAGCAACAGATGGCTCAGGCTTAGGAGCACTATTACTCCTCCAGGACCCCATGGTGGTTCACAACAGTCCATCACTCCAGGTCCAAGGCCTCCAATGCCCCTTCTGGCTTCCTAGGCCACACATATGCAGACACATCACTCATACATATCAAATAAGTGAATCTTTAAAAAGAAAACATGAACCAAGAGTGGAAGTCCATGAATGTCATTCCAATACTCAAGAAGTTGACATAAAAGAATCTTAAGTTCAATGTTTGCCTGAGCTACATAGTGTAGGCTAGCCTGAGCTACAAAGTGAAACAAAACAAAATAAATCTCAGAAGGCCAGCAACATGGCTCAGTGGATAAAGGCTCTTGTCATGTAAACCTGACCACCTGAGTTCAATTTCTGGAACCCACAAAAAGGTAGAAGAGAGCCAAGGCCACAAAGCTGGCCTCTGCCTTCCACATGGGTAAAATGGCACACCCAGACTGAAGTCGTGTCATATACAAATAATAAAATCCTAGATTAAGCCGGGCGGTGGTGGCGCACGCCTTTAATCCCAGCACTCGGGAGGCAGAGGCAGGCGGATTTCTGAGTTTGAGGCCAGCCTGGTCTACAGAGTGAGTTCCAGGACAGCCCGGGCTATACAGAGAAGCCCTGTCTCGAAAAACCAAACAAAAAAAACAAAAATCCTAGATTAAAAGAGAATACTAAAGACTGACTGTAGGTGTAGCTCAGCGGTGGAACTTTTTTTTGGTTTTTCGAGACAGGGTTTCTCTGTGTAGCCCTGGCTGTCCTGGAACTCACTCTATAGACCAGGCTGGCCTCAGACTCACAGAGATCCGCCTGCCTCTGCCTCCCAAGTGCTGGGATTAAAGGTGTGCATCAAACCACCCAGCATATAGCATTTTTTTTTTAAAGCATGTATTCTCTACTAATTATTACAACAGTGACTGTGACTAGCACAGCGGCACATGCCTGTAATTCCAGCACTGGTAAGCAGAAGGATCTTGAGTTCAAGACCAGCCTGAGCTACATAATAAGACTATCTTTACAAAAGAAAAACAAAACAAAACAGTACGAGGCTGAGGAGAGATCTCAGCAGTTAAGAGCACTGGCTGCTGCTCCAGAGGACCCAGTTCCCAGCACCCACGTGGCAGCTCACAGCCCTTGGTCACTCCAGTTCCAGGGGATCCGGCACCTTTATACAGACATACATGCAGGCAAAACACCAATGCACATAAAATAAATAAATCCTTTTTTCTACAGTCTTGGCAACTTTGGGTATTAACCTTCCTTTTTTTTCCCTCCTATAAAGAATAAGGTTATACCGCTTCCTAAAGAAAAGGCCATTTTAAGTTCTATTTTAAAAAAAACTCTCCTCTAAAATGTAAGTATACTCTACTATGTTGAGACTATGTCATCTTCTATCAACTATATACTCAACCTAATTATCTACTGTAATGTCAGTGTTCTGGATCATTCTGCACCACGGAAGATGGCACTCTTCAGGACTACCAGCATCCCCTTACCTGGCTTCCTGCCACCATAGAAGTGAGTGTACTCAGCACAGGTGATGTACCTGAGGAAGACAGAGAATATGTTACTGGGTCCCGTCACGGACAGGACAGAAGCTGTATCAGTAACTTATGACACAACTCTCACTCACTTAGCAAAGATACATTAAACATCTGCAGTGTCAGGCACATAAGCAAAGAGACAGAAAAATAAAGAGACATCAACAGTGCCTTGTCCAGAAGAAAATGAACTGGATTTATAGGCTAACAGGAGAAAGAGCTAAGCATACAAAGATCTGGGGAGGCCCTTTACAGGAATAACATTACTGAGGCTAGAGCAGGACAAGCTGAATGTATTCCAGAAAGGAGACAGCAGAAAAGAGTGTCATGAGGTACATAGCAGCAGAAAGACACAGAAGCAAGGGCAGTGGATGAGTCACAAATGAGTCCAAGACCAAGGCAAGTACTCTGTGTTTGCCTAAGTGTGAAGGGAAGCTGGTGGGTGGTTTTGACCAGGACCCACTATGTAACTAGGGCTAGGATAGGGATATAGCAGGCTTAGGTGTGAAAATTATCGAGTTCCGTATTAGCATACTAGTTTTGAGAAAGCTGTAAGTTTTCCAAGTGGAGAACTGAGTAAAAGCTCATTAGTGCATGAGAGACTATTAGAACAAGATCCACTACAGAGAGGAAGGAGACACCCACAAGGTCTGGGACAAGGGGAGGGGAAGCTCAGCAAAGAGGAAATAGATCATACGCAGATAAAAATACGATCCCCCTAAGGGCTGGCTTTGGAAAGGGAAGAAGCCCAGGGACTGAAAAGATGGATACTAGATCTGGCAATACAGAAGTCAAAGGTATCCTTGCAAGCAGTTGGGGGGCAGGGGACATCTGACTACACTAGTTTGAAGAGACAGAAAACACAAAGTACAGTAGCAAATGGGAGGGGAACACGTAGCATGGCACGCCAGTCTTCAACTAGAAGGCTGTCGCCTGTGTGTAGGCTGGCAGGCTCAAGCCAGGACGAAGCAGACCTGGCTGTGCAGGGCAGATAAGCAACTCAGGGGCAAAACGCGCGTGCAGAAATGGGGGCGGAAGGGGAAAACCCCACAAGTTAGTCTGGCTGCAGAACGCCCTGGCCCGCAAAGACTGCGCTAAGAGACGATACGGCGCCTGTGAAAGCTGAAGCTTTCAGGAGATGACCTTCAGCACGACGACGAGCTGAGAACAGAGACGTGGCCCAACTTACATCTTGTCCTTCTGGTGCTGTCGCTTCCCCATGGTGGCGACGAACCGAAGAGAACACAGTCGACACCCTGAGTCCGGCGCTTCCGCTTTCTCAACTACTTCCGGAGCTCGACACCCCGGGTCCCGGAAGTTGGAAGTAGGCATTCTGGGAATTGTGGTTTCCAGGTGCCCAGGGACCTGCGTGCAGGCACCTTGCTAGGCTGAGGCTTGCTGACTTTGAGTAGAATCCACTTTTCCAGTCTCCCACCAAACTGCGTTGGCCTCCCCCAAGCCCTCAAAAACTTATCTATGCACTATCTGGCTACTTGTTCAGTCCATGCTATGCTAGGCTGACTCGTGCAGACCTGGCCTCCTCTGTATCTAAAGGCCTTCAAACTTACACCTTCTCCAAAGCCATGTCTATCTGTATATTCAACTCTTTCTCTCATTCGGTGCCCACGCCCTTCAGGCCCATCAGCTGGCAGATAACCAAGGCCTTCCTTCTGTGACCAGATCCTTGATCTGAGTCTCTTATCCTGGGAGAGTGTGTTCCAAGTTCCCTTTTTAAATTGTGTGCGTGGTCAAGTAGGTGCCATGCCACAAGCATGGAGCTCAGAGGACAGACAAGTCAGGAGTTGGTCTCCTTGCCAGACTTGTGTAGCTTTTATTTGCTAAGGCATCTCTCCAGCCAAAGCTGGGGTTTTTTTCATTTTTTGATTTTTGTTTTTTTGTTTAAGTACACTGGCATTTTGCCTACATGTATGTCTGTCTGTATGAGGGTGTTAGAACCCCTGGACCTGGAAATACAGATGGTTATGAGCTGCCATTTGGGTGCCAGAAATTGAACCCAGGTCCTTTGGAAGAGCAGCCACGGAGTCATCTCTCCAGCCCATTAAGCAACACTTATACTCTCCCAAAGCCAAGTCACTGGCAGTTGGTTAACTACACGTCAAATTCTTGTCTATTTGTCTAACCAAAGAATTCTCAATCTCCCTGTCATCTGTTCCAAATCTCCACTTCGATGCTAAATAACCTGTTCCACACCCTAACCCTGACTTCCTGATAAGATCTTCAACCAAATAATTTTGAGATGTCCTGTCAAATTCCTACATAACTATAAAGCGTTAGAATCCCCAGCCTTGCAGTTTTGGGGATATTTTTTTAAATTCTTCTGTGTTTGAGACTATTCTCTCAAACTCTATTTTAGGGAGACAAAGCTGTCTAACTGAAAATGAAGCTTGCTTAATTCAAACAAAAAATCTGGGTCAATGGTCTTACTCTCATTCAGTGGGATTAACAAAGACCACTAGCCACCCAGTTAGCCAAAGGCAGCCATCACTGAATCTTCTTACTTCATGGTCTCTGACTTCCAAATAAATCTCACCTCAAAAGATCCTTTATCCCAGTATGGTGGGTATACACCTTTAATCCCAGCACTTGGGAGGCAGAAGCAAGCAGATCTCTATGAGTTCAAGGCAAGCCTGGTCTATAGTAAGTAGAGAGACCCTGTCTCGAAAACAAAACAAAACAAAAATAAACAAAACTACCAGCACTTGAGAGGCAGAGGCTGGTAGATCTCTGTAAGTTCAAGTCCTGTCTGGTCCACATACCGAGTCACAGGCCAACCAAGAATATGCAGTGAGACCAAAAAAAGAAAAAAAATCTTTCTTGGCCACCCCACTCTCCTCTCTCATAGTCTACCACAATTTATAATTATGTAGTAATTTTACTCTACAGCCCCAAGTGAGGTATTGTCAACCATGACTAATATGTATATCCACTAATGTCCAGTAATGACTGAGATCTTACATGGAGAAAGGTTCTAAGGCCAGCATATGAGATGACAATGAGAATCACATTTTTGAAACTCAGGCAAGTGCCAAGCTGTAAACTGACCAACCCACTCATTTCTCCTCCAGGTAAAAACACCCAGCAAATTAAGGCTTGTGTTTGGAGATCACACACAGTACACTTGCCGCTCAGGGGAAGTGAAGCCCTACGGAGTCTAAATTGCTGAAGGGAAGAAAAGAATTTCCCACCCCATTCTCTCAAGCATGACAGAATTGCTTGTTACAGTGCAAGTGAGGGGTCATTGAAAGGTACTGATCTCAACATACACTGCCCATATTTGAAGGGATGAGGTTTGAAATATGGTTTTTTTCTATAGAGTCTAGGCTATCCTTGAACTCTCTCTCCAGTCTCGGCGAAAACAGAGAGGACATACAACATTCGGGTAGCTCAACACCAGGATGAACTTTACTCAGTCCTGGGGCATGGTCTGTTGGGAAGAGATTATTGGCTCTCCTTGGCAGGAGTGGACTCCGCGCTGCCAGGGTCATTCTCTGAATCATCATTGGGTCTGGGCACAGGTTGGAACTTGAGCAGAACAGGCGGAGTGAAGATAGAGGCTTTCACAACAGGAGATGGCATCTCGTCAGTGTTGGAGGGTCCACTACAGGCTGGCGTCCTGCATGAGAAATGGCCAACACATGCTCATGATATAGAATACTCACAGGGCTGCCACACAAGTAATAAAGTCATAGGCTTCAGGCTGTCTCCCAAGACACTTTACTTCTAGAAACCTCTCCCATGGAACCTCTTCAGGGTTATACATTATCTCAGTGCCTGTGAGTGAGAGAGGAGCATAGCGCAAACCAAAGAGGCTTGTCCCGATGCCTGCTAAGAGTGAAAAGTGTCTCCATGGCTTTGGGGTTTTTTGGTGGTGATGGTGGTTTTTTGTTTTTACTTGCTTCTTTGTTTGTTTGCTTTATTTTTTGGTGTTTCATTGGTTGGTTGGAGTTTTTTCTTTTTTGAGGTAGGGGAGCTGGGTGGCCTCTAACTGTGTGGTCCAGACTATCTTTGAACTTGCAGCAATCCTCCTGACTCAGCCTCCCAGGTGTTAGGGTTAGAGGAATGTGCCTGGAATCAGCCTCCTGCCTGCCCATCTTTTCAAGCCCTTTTAATCAGATCCATAGCTGCCTAACATTTCAGGTTAGGTATCATCTTGTGAATACATTTGCAGCATGTATTCATAGCTTCCTATGCTCTGTAGCTCCGTAACACTTCAATTTTGGGTATCATTTTGTACCTACATGTTTGTAGAAATTTCCTCTAGATTGAAACATTTCCTCCTGAAGAGAAGTTCATAAAACTCAAGAAAACTCCAAAAAGTAATAAAAAAGTTGTAAGGTTCCTAACTCCCTCACTGAGGTATATATGCAGTAAAAAACTGCTAAGGGGAAGATTCTCAGGGTTGTGCGAGGAACTCCAGAGCCATGTTCACGGGTCCTCGCCACACTGGCCTGAGCTTTTTAGTGATGTAAATGGCTAAGTTGCCTATTCCTGTAAGTAACCACTGTTGTAGAAATTATTAGGAAGAAGAAGGTACAGGAGGAGGAAGGAGAAGCCACCATGGGTTAGATAAGCCATAAAAACATGTCTCTGAGGGCTGGCCAAATAAAGAGCAGCCCAGATAAAACATACCAAGTAATAATTCTATCAATAGGAAAGTAGATTGTAATAACTTAAAAGATAGTTATCTGCCAGGCGGTGGTGGCACACGCCTTTAATCCCAGCACTTGAGAGGCAGAGGCAGGCAGATTTCTGAGTTCGAGGCCAGCCTGGTCTACAGAGTGAGTTCCAGGACAGCCAGGGCTACACAGAGAAACCCTGTCTCAAAACAAACAAACAAACAAAAAGATAGTTATCTGTCCAGTTCTTGTGCTGTTTAAGATTTATTGTAAATATAAAGGTTGAGTGTATGTCCTTTATCTAGGAACTAAATGACCAAAGGCAGGACAGAAACCCCGGGTCAGGATTAAATAACGTCTATAACAAACCACAATAAACACACTAGTTTACTAAGCTAAATGTGAGTGGAATCGTTCCTTTGGTCTGCCATCAGCACATTATCTAAGAGGAATAGATATTTGCTCAAATCTCCCCAGAAAAGCCATACAAGCCATTTATACATAATCTGATTATCACATAACTACATGAATGTGTATTTTTCTTTCTAGATTTTGTGTGAGACAGGACCTCATTATAATAGCCCTCATTGCTTTGGTTGGCCTGGATTTCTAGAACTTTCTTTCTTGAGCAGGCTGATCACAAACTTGTAGCAATACTGCTTCAGCCATGAGTGCTGGAATTGAAGGTAAGCATCATCATGCCTGGATTCACCTTTCTTCCTTGTGGATTTTTCGTTGACGGTGGTAATGGTGTGTTTTTGTTTGAGTTTGACTTTAAGACAGTGTTTCACTATGTTGCTCTGGCTGGCTTGGAACTCACTACGTAGACGGGGCTGGCTTCACACTTACAGAGACCTCCCCGCCACTGCTGCCCCAGAACTAGAATTAAAGGTGTGTGCCACTATACCAGCTTTATTTCCTCTTTGTAACTGATACTACCATAAAGTTTTATAGAAATATCTTTTCTCCATGAGCCTAAGAAAAAGTTTTAAGATGCATAAGGACCCTGTCTGATAATCCCCCTTCTAGGAAAGTGGGGACAGGAAAATCACAAGTTCAGGGTCAGCTTGATCAATGTCGTGGGGTCCTGACTCAGAAAGCAGAGAGGGCAGCAGAGGATGCAGACCTACAGTAGGTCACTTACCTAGCATCCACAGCCTTGCATTCAAAAGGAACTTTGCTTTAGAGGTAGTTTCCAAGATGTCAATCAATCTCAAAACAATTCATTGAATTTGAGAACATTTATGGTTCATGGCCTTTTTTGAAGAGACAGTCTCTCAAAAAGACCAGGCTGGGCACAGTTTGCACATCTTTCCCATACCAGGATGTAGAAAGTGGAGGCAGAAGGATGAGGAGTTAAAAGGTTCAGCAAGCTTCAGCTAAGCTGCTGGTCAGCCAGGTTATCTGAAATTAGTTATACCTGTACAAACCTACTCTCTAGCACACAGAAAGGCTGAGGCTGAAGGATTGTTGGAGGTCAAATGCACAGTAAAACTCTCCCTCAGAACCACAAAAACGAACTCAAAGCCTGGAACTTTGCATTTCAAAGCAAAAAGAATGGGAGAAGATATTTGCAAATTGCAATTGATAAGAGACTTGTCTCCACTATATGTCAAGGATGTTATAAAACTCAAGAAGCAGGGCTGGAGAGGTGACTCAGCAGTTAAGAGCAGGTACTGACTGCTCTCTCAGTAGCCCTGCCTTCTGTTCCTTGTATCTGAGTGAGTCAGGACATCTGTGTCCACTTCTGGCCTTTGCAAGAACCTGTGCTCACAACCACATACCTCACAGAGACACATAGACTCATAATTTAGAATTCTAGCAGGCTTGGTGGAGGCACATGCTTTTAAATCCAGCACTCCTGAAGCAGAGGCAGGAAGATCTCTGTGAGTGTGAAGCAAGGCTGATCTACATACTGAGTTCCTAGACAGCCAGGACTATACCATGAGACCCTGTTTCAAAAACTAATAACAAAAAAAAACCATATTTTTTTTAATCCAGAAAAAGGAGCTCAGATAGAAGACTTAGCAGTTAAGAACCCATGATGCTCTCCCAGAGGACTCCAGTTCAGTTCCCAGCACCCATATCAGGAGGCTCACAACATCTGCAACTCCAGCTCCAGGGGATCCAATGCCTCTTGGCCAATAAGTAGAGACTTGTACTCACATGCTGATACATGATATATAGTTAAAAATAATAAATCTTTTTTAATCAAGGGAGAAAAAGACAAAACACCAAGAACCCTGTTGGAAAACTGCTAATTAAGGTCAAAGTCCACCATAACCAGATAGCCTCTGGGCTCAGATTCTAAGCCCCTACACTTGTATCTGAGGAATATCATGTAGCCACAATTTGTTTATAGGATCAACCTCCTCTCTCCTGTTCAGTCAGCACCTGAGAATCAGGAAATGCTTCCCCATGCTCATGAGGCGTTCCAGGTACCCTAAAGCTCCCAGCCAATGATTTCTGATCATCCTGGATGTCCCACCCTCAGTCCCCCAAAACTTAATAATATAGCCTTCAGCCACCCTAAGTAAAGTTGATCTGCCTAATGGCAATCATTCCAGGTGTGCTCATTCACTGTATGTATTCACAGGGCTTCTGAATTCTCTGTTTGAAGGGCCAGTCATTCATCCACGAGAGCAGGGAGTCCCACAAACCCTAATACTGAGAAATACACAAAGAATTCAAATACACATTTCCCAAAGACATACAAATCACCAGTAAGTTCAGAAAAATGATTCAACACCATTGGACATCAAGAAAATGTAGCCAAGGTACAAACAAAAACCTTGTCTCAAAAAAAAAAAAAAAGGAAAAAAAATAAAAACTGTAACTGAGAACCACAATGAGATTAATTCACAACCCCTGAAGCTGCTGTATAAGAAAAGCTACTCCTGGGGCAGTACGATAAAATCCCAATTTCTTAGAAGGCTGTAATGGGGAATTGCTTAAGCCTAGATGCTCAGGATTGGTCTGGGCAACACATAGTGGGCCATCTCAAAAAGCTGTGTGGTAGTTTTGGTATGCCTAGTCCAGGGACTGGAACTATTTGGAGGTGTGGCCTTGTTGGAGTAGGTATGTCACTGTGGGTATGGGCTTTAAAACTCTCATCCAAGTTGCCTGGAAGCAGTACTCTGTTAGCAGCCTCCAGATGAAGATGTAGAACTCTAGCTTCTCCTGCACCATGCCTGCCTGGATGCTGCGGGGCTGAACCTCTGAACCTGTAAGCCAGCCTCATTTAAGTATTGACTTTATAAGAGTTGCCTTGGTCATAGTGTCTGTTCACGGCAGTAAAACCCTGCATAAGACAAGCTGTTTAAAATTTTATTTCATTTATCTACTGTGGGAATAATATGCATGCACTTAGTGCACTTGTAGAGTTTGGGGCACAGATTGAGGAAGTCAGCTCTCTGCTTCTGGGATGTGACTCCAGCTCAGGCACTCAGGCCTTCCGATAAGCACCTTTCCGCACTGAGCCATCTCATCCTCCCTTTTTATTTAAAATATACCTATAGGGCTGGAGAGCTAAGAGCACTGGCTGCTCTTCCAGAGGTCCTGAGTTCAATTCCCAGCAACCACATGGTGGTTCACAACCATCTATAATGAGATCCAAAATGCCCTATTGTGGTGTGTCTGAAGAGAGTAACAATGTACTCACATACATACAATAAATAAATCTTTAAAAAATATGCTTTAAAATACGCCTGTAAGTATGCCTAAGTGGGAGAATGGGCACTTGCCTATAGGACTAAGCCTGATTCCTCAGGTGTGGTGGCACATGCCTTTAACCCAAGCACTCAGAGGAAAGGCAGAGGCAGGAAAACCCTGTGAGTTCAAGGCCAACTTCATTTACTTAATGAGTTCCAGGCTACCAGAGCACATAGTGAGACCTTGTTTCAAACAAACAAAACAAATAGCAAACAACAACAAAGGCATGCTAGGCATGATGGTACATATTGATAGTTCAAGCAGTTGGAGGCAGGGTCAGAAGGAA